CCACAAACTCTGACATTCTTTAGATAAGGCCATAGTCAAGTGGAAGTTCTTTCCCACCCTCAGAGAAAGGTATCTCCTTCGTTGATGTTCGTTCTTTCCACTGGGATCTCACTCACGGAGATCTTTCATTTAGGTCATTTTTTGCCATGTCTTGGCTTTCAGTGCCTGAAATACTCTCATGGACTTTTTAGCCAGATCCAAATACCTTAAGGGCTGATTCTGAGGCCAGAGTGCTGTTTAGGGCATCTGCATTCTATGAATCTGCTGTGTATCCTGCTTCCCATGTTAGGGCATCTGCCATTCTATGAATCTGCTCTGTATCCCACTTCCCGTGTTGGAGTGTTCTCTCCTTTTTAATTCTATCAATTATTATTACACACATATTATTTATGTGATCCCTTTGACACTTAATCCTATCTTTATTCAAATATGAACTTAAACTAGTTTAAACTTCACTTTAACTAGTAAGATAGCATTGGTACCTGTGAACTTAATGGGATTTGGATCCCATGGCAAGATTTTAGCTTAACCCTTTAGGAGTAAGTCCAGGATCATGTGCCAAACTGTACATCTCCTCCCTAAATTATTCCCACTCTTATTTTTAACAGAAGTCAATTTTCAATTGCATTTAACACCTAAGAATAACTGTTGTATTATAAAGAGTTCAACCAATGGTATTAAGTAAAAAAGAAAATATTAAGAAAAAAAATAAGCTGTTCCTCGATAGTCAGACAAGGTTGATCAAGTCATTGCTTCTTGTGTCAGTTTCACTTTTACAGGTTTCCTTTTAAGTGCTCAGTTAGTTGTCACAGATCAGGGACATATGATATTTTTCCCCTTTGGTACTGCTTATTTCACTCAGCATAATATTTTCCAGATTACTCCATTTTGTTGCAAATGACCAGATTTCATTTTTTACCACTGTGTATTATTCCATAGAGTACGTATTTCATATTTATCTATCCAGTCTTCTGTTCATGGGCATTTAGGTTGATTCCATGTCTTCGTTATTGTGAATGAGCTACAATTAACTTTGAGGTACAGATAGCTTTTTTATTTGCCATTAATTTCTCTTGGGTAAATTCTGAGGAATGGGATGGCTGGGTCGTGTGGTAGGGTTATATTCAGAAGAAATAAAACTTTAAAGGTGATTCCATCACCAGGGACTGCATTAACATTTGGGTAAGACTACAAAGGGTTTTCAAGTAGTAATTCTAAATTCTGATCCAAGTTGGTATGTTCAGGTGCCAAAAACAATCAAATAATTTTAGGTGTTAATTGCAATTTTCAATCCATTCTCTTAAAAGTGCAGAATCAACTTTTCAGAGAGATATGCCATAAATACTATTAGTTGTAACAGTTAATGGGTCATGGATATTGGAATGTAGGACTCTGCTGCTTGTACTTAATTTTCCCAGTTTTCATATCTAATAACTAACTATGAACAGAGCAGTCCCTAAGTAAAGGATCTCCAAATACTCACAAGATTTTAATGGTAAAAGAACCCTAAGATGAGAATGTTTTTCTAATTTACAATTAAATTATTTGGGGACACTAAATCAGTTCTTAAAGAAAATTTAAAGTATATATTTTTATTCTATATTGACACATCATTGTGGCATAGAATATGTTTTTCCATATGTGTATTGTATTATACAATGTATAATGATCAGATTAGATCATTATTAGCATACCAGTCACTTCAAATATTTATTCTTTGGGAAATTCCAAATCTTATAACTATTTTGAGATTGCAGTTCCTCTTCTGTGCTTTAAAATGATTAAGTATTGTCTCTGTTCTCTGTAATCACACACACACACAAATGAGAGTATGCTAATCAGAACATCACTAGGATGGAACAATTAAAACAAATGAAATTTAGGAATAATGTTCCAATTTAGGTAAATCAGAATTCTATGACATTTTAAACCATTAAAATTTTATATCTTAATTAACTTATGTCAATCCTAATAAAGATAGGAATTTTAAACTAGGCACTTCAGGGTATCAAAAAATGAAAGGTATTTTTTAGCATCTCAGTTAAAGGTTACAGTCTCTAGATGAGAAATATATTTTTTTCAGACATCTGAAAATGATATCTGCATTATTTGTGTCAAAACCTTTTATCAAATCTGCAGACAAAAATAATTTTTAGAATGAAGATTGAAGGCATTTCAAATACTGTGTTTCTTTCCAGATACATTTGTACTGCAAAATTACCTTGTCTGCATGTTTGTACTTCATTCATTCCCACTGATGTTGCCCAAAAATGTATTGCTTCCAGACGAGGCTGAAGGAGTTTTGAAACAAGATAGTTAACAATGCATATTTCATATAATGTATTTAATTAGAGAAAAATGTAAAATACACATTATTACCAGCTATTGAGAATATTCAAGACAAAATGTAACGTTATTACCGTCAATTCAGTGGATCCCTTAGCAAACTCTAAAAAGCAAAAGATATACAGTCAATTATATGTAAATGACAAGGCCGACAATATGGGTGCAGGTTTAGCATTGCGCTAAGTCCACATGTGTGGCTATGGAAATGATTACTGTAGGTTTGGGGAAGCGGTTTATATTTGGGGTGCTAGGAAAACAACATGCAAGATAGAAGTATATAAACATACAACCAGAGTTCTATCAAAAATAAGTTCCTAGTATTACACAGCATAGTTGAGCAACTATATTACAGTAACCTATCTTACAATGAAATAAAAGGAGTACCAAGCTTTAATAATATCATGTGAAAGAAAGGAACATGCCAATTACCCTGATCTCATCAAGATATGTTGTATACATATAATGAAATGTCACACTGAATTCCATAAACATATATATAATTTTTAATAAAATAAAATAAAAAATCAAATAAAATTCAACAAAATAGACCTATGGGTTTAATAAAACACGCCACTAAGATTTCAAACGTATGACAATGTCTCAAAAAGTATGACTGTTAATTAAGCAAAAAGGTACCCATATGCAAGTGAGCATGCTGAGTACTGGGGACAAATGTGATCTTTAATCAAAGGAACAAATCATGACCATGAGAGTCTAAATGAGAAAGCTGATGGTCGAATGTGACAGCATACCTTTACTGTACACATCAGAATCATTTATTCTTGTGCTACAATTGTTTTTCGGTGTCTCCTGTATTTGGAAGCGTACAGTTGTGATGAAGATGAATATATAATTCATTTCTTAGCAGAGAAAGTGGTCTGACCTCATCAATTGGTTATACTTGGCTTTAGATAGTAACCATAGTCACAGTTTTCTATAATTATGAGGACTACTGGTTGTGTACATTTCTTTCCTCCTCTAGTTTAGCTTTGAAAGATTTTACTTATTTATCTGAAAGACGAGAAGATAGATGAGAGAGATAGAGAAATCTTCCATCTACTCTTCAAATGCCCACAAAAGCCATGGCAACATCAAATGGAGGGGTCGCACTGTGGTGTAGCAGGTAAATCAGCTGCCTGCTATGCCGGCATCCCATATAGGCACCAGTTTGAGACCCGGCTTCTCCCCTTCCAAACCAACTCTCTGCTGTGGCTTGGGAAAGCAGTAGAAGATGGCCCAAGTCCTTGGGCCCCTGCACCCACTTGGAGACCCAGAAGAAGCTCCTGGTTCCTGACTTCAGATCAGCTCAGCTCCAGCCTTTGTGGCCATTTGGGGAGTAACCAGATGGAAGACTTATCTCTCTCTCTTTCCTCTCTCTCTCTCTCTGTGCATCTCCTTCTCTGTGTAACTCTTTCAAAAATAAATAAATTTTAAAAAAAATCAAGTGGAAGCTAGGAGACTGGATTGCCTTCCAGCTCTCACACAAGTGTTGCAGAATCTCAAGTACTTGGGTCCATCATCCACTGCTTCCCAGGCAGTTTTTCAGGAGGATGAACCTTAAGTGTGGCACCCGAACATGGAATACAGGCATCCCCAGGTGGCTTAACCTACAGTCCCACAGTGCCTAGCCCTAGTTAGATGTCTTAAAGATTTTATCCCCTGATTCAAGAAGGTACATAGAACATATAAAGTAATTGCATATAATTGCTTTTGACACAGAAACCTAGTCATCAAAAGAATAAATTCACTAAGCTGCCAGAATTATTAATATCACTTTTTATTCTAAATCAATGCAATATTTACTGAAAAATTCTGGTATTGAAGGAATGAAGTCTATGATATCTTGTTTCCAAAACACATTTATTCTAGCATAGTATGCTAACTTTAATTTTGTGAAACTACTTTATAAAAAATTTAGCTATAAGATAAGCCAATGATTCAGTATTCAAATTTTTTCTCATTTAATAGCATCCATGCAATTTATATCACTAGTGCTTTAGAATTAAATTTCAAATGAGTGGCTGCAATACCAGCACACCCATCCTGTTTTTGGTAATCTCTGGAGCAGCAATAACCTAATGTTTTAAATGTGAACATACAGAAGGCATCTGAAGTGAATATTCTCATGTTTCTCCTCATTAGTAACTCTAAATTTACCAGGTTCACTTCATTCTCTCTTCTTCCCTCTTCAGAATCATCCCTCCTTATCAAAAGTAATCTCTGGATCTGTGCTCTGGATTCTTCGCCTTACCATTAATTTTAGGGACTATCCACACCACTTATTTTCCCATTTATCGCTACAATTTACAGTTCTAACTTCTATTTCAACCTCCCTTCAACTCTCCTTGCCTTCCCCAGAGCCTCTCAAACTTTACTCCTTCTTGGCTTCCTTCTTTCCTCTCATTCCTGTTTCCAATTTCTCCCTCTCCTCTCCTCTCTTCCCCTCCCCTTCCTCACCTCTCTTCCCCTCCCCTCTCCTTCCCTCTCCTCCCCCTTCTTCCCCTCCCCTTCCCCTCCTCCCCCTTCTTCCCCCCTCCCCTTCCTCTCATCTCTTCCCCTCCCCTCTCCTTCCCTCTCCTCCCCCTTCTTTGCCTCCCCTCCCCTCTCCTCACCTTCCCTCTCCTCTCTCTCTCCCTCCCCCCCTCTCCTCTCCTCTCCTTACTTATCTCCACTCACTTCCCTCCCTCCATCCCTTCCTCCTTCCTCTCCTCCTCTTCCTTCCTTCCTTCTTCCTTCCTTCCTTCCTCCTTCCTTCCTTCCTTTCTTCCTCCCTTTCATCCTCTGGATAGGAACATGCTGAGAAATAAAAACAAAAAATACTCTCCCTCTATCCTTTTAGTTCTTGAATACTTCTCCCAAGGTCCTTCTTTCAAATATCTCTGAAGGGAAACATATAACCCTAAAGCTCACCAGGGATCGTGATGAAAATGCAGAATCCCACATTTAAGGAAACAAAATGTGCATGCTGAATAAGGTCCCCAGAGATTCTTAAGTTTAAGAAGTTCTAGTCTTTACAAAGCTTCCTTATATTCCTTTTCCTTAACTCCCCTTTCTGGAATGTAGCCTTAAGTTCATCCCTGCCACATCCCCCAAATTTAAATGGCATAAGATGTCATGGTTTAATGGGCTTTTTCTCAGGCAGTTAATTTTATTTCACCCTTTTCCCCATTCTAATTTCATTTAAAAAGACTAAAATTACCAAGTAATGAAATGACAAGTCAACCAGAAGAACAATAGAACATTCAGAAATACATGAGATGGGCAAAGGACATGAATGGACAGTTGTCTCAAAGAAGAATACAATAGTCAATACACACACCACACACACCACACACATAAATATTAATACCTACTTAATATACATAGCCATTAGGAAAATGCACTGAGAAAATTCCATGAGATTATCACCTCAGCCCTCAGAATGGGGGCTCTCCCTCATTCTGAATCCTCTTCCCTGACTTATTCTGATTGTAGGTTATCCTGAAATGAGCTAGATAACTTCAGCTCCTCTGGGTGCACTCACAATTTAATGCATTGCTAACTAGTGACACATACAAAGCTTACCACTCTCATTTATCTTTCCTTACTAGCATTTAATACACAACTTTCTTCAGCTATTGGTATACATCAATATTCTGTCTTAGATAAACATCTGTCAACTGGCTTTAAAAACTACAGTTCTTACCTTCCAGTGGTTCATTCATATCTTTTCCTTTTGCATCTGCTGCCATTGATTGATTAATGGATTCCTTCCAAGAATTTGTAGAAATAGTCTATTAAAGTTAATGCCAATAATGAGTTGCATACACTTCCCAACAATGTTCTAAAAGAATCTTAATTTTCCACTTTCTAAAGAGTTCCACTTTATAAAGGCAAAAGATCAGCATGTTTTATACAAATTCTCAAGATCAGGCCTAACTTTGAGTTTCATGTTACTGATTCTATAAATGCAGCATGGAGGTTCAGAGGAACAATAACTTATGATACTAATAACATATTTTAGCTACAAACTAACTCAAAAAGTCAACTCTGCATTGTATTCCCCAATAAAATAAGAAGACAAACTAGAAAAACACATTGAAAAATTGTAGTGTTATAATACAGAGTTAAACACATGAACAATTTCTAGGTTTTGTCTTAACATTCTAAACATAAGAAACTTCCAAAGTATGCCATACTGAGTATAAAACAGAACATCTCAGAAGCTGTACAGTTACATACCACAGTGGTTTAGAAATGCTAAGTTTTCTTTTTATTTACTTATTTGACAGGTCAAGAAATACCGAGAAAGAAAAATATAACACGGAGAGAAAAGAGAGAAAGAGACAGACAGGCTAGGGAGTATATCAGTTCACTGGCTCTGTCTCCAAATGCCACCACTTGTCAGCCATGGGCCACACCAAAGCTGAGAGCAAGAACTCAGTCCCAGTCTCTGATGTGGATGGCAAGAAACACAATTACATTAGCTTAGACCCGTTGCTTACAGGGACTGCACATTAGTTGGAAGCTGGATTTGAATTAAGACATTAACCCAGGTACTAAGATGTAGGCTGCCAGAATCCCAACTGAGCTCTAAATGCTAGGCAGAATTCCTGTCCTAACTATTATTTAATACAATTGTTTAAAACACGTGAAGATGGTTTGAATGAATAGCAGGAGAGTAAGTAAAATTTTCCTTTATGTTATGCTTCGTAACAGTATGCAAAAACCTGTATTAGTATGCAACTCATTGAAAGAAAGAAATACTGTGAAGATTGTACTGTAAGCTTTAATAAGAATAAGCTGTATTTTTCTGCTTCAGCTTCTAACATGTGTCTGACACTCATTTGCATCATTTATTTTCTACACACAATAACATATTAAAAAAAGATTGAGGGGGATGGTTAGTCCACTACCTGCATCTTGCTAATTTCTGGAAGTGAAGAATAAAATAATAAACAGAGGTGATCCACTAATCTTTCTGTCCATAATGTCCTCCTTCTAGACATTCAGAGCGAATGTACATTCTCATTCTTATGCTGGGCAGCATCAAATCAGTAGCCCTATTTTTTCCCTCTGCCTACAGAATTCCACCATACAAACCATTCCAACACGAAGCACAGACACCCTCAATATCTCTATTTCAACAGTCTCTCATTACTTTTTATGAGGCATTTAGAGGTAACTGTTAGTGCTGTTACCTGATTTTCTTGTTCCAACATAAGAGAAGTAGCCCAAACCTGTAAAGTCAGTGCCTAACTGCCCTACCACGAGTTGGAACTCACCCACAAAATTTATTTAAGGTGTCAATTAAAATATTACCAGAAAGGCCTCAAGTAGAAAGTTACTAAGTATTCCTATAGAAATTTCAAAAGAAATCATCCCCTGAATTAGAAAAAGTTCCAAGGTAGTTAGTATTCATATATTTGGTCACTGGTAGAGTGGAAAATTCTTTATCTTAGAAAAGATTATTCTTAAAACTCAACAAATTCCTTGTGATACCTAAACCTTTCTTTTTCACTGCATGGTACTGGATTTATGAAAGAAACCTTGAGTTTACACAGCTGTAAAGTACTTAGCACATAGTTGAATTACTCATGGGATGGGGAAATGTGAGGAACTAATTCCTATAGGTATGCACTAAAGAGAGAAGAAAGGGGGAAACAGTCTCTTTGCAAGTGGTTGGTCAAATGGTGAAGAAGCTAAGTCTAAAGGATTATGTCTGATGTGAGAGTGCCTGGGCTTAAGTCTAGGCTCCAGCTCAGAATCTAGCTTCCTACAAATGTGGGCAGAGTGAGGCAGTTGGTGGTGACTCAAGTACTTAAGTTCTAGCCATCCACATGGGAGACTGGAACTGAGTTTCCAGTTCCTGTATCTCAGCTTCAACGAGGTTATGTTCCTGGAGTTGCAGGCACACATAGGGATTGACCTATAGGACCCAAGAGAGTTCTGCGTGTCTCAACTGGCATGTGAGTAGGTATCTATCTGTGTTATCTCTGTGTCTGCCTTTGTGTCAATATCTTCAACAAGGTACAAAAAGCCTTAAGGAAAAGATATAAACTATAATAGGTGTTTAGCTTCTAAACTGTGCCAGACTAGGGGGAGCAATTTGACAGGGTAAGCTGTTCCTGGGGACACTGGCATCCCATAGAGTAGTGCCTAACCTACTATATTCGTACTCCAGATTCTAGATCATGTGCATGCTGCGAGGCAGGTATGGCTTATATACATGAGTCCCTGCCAACCCTGCGGAGGGTCCACCAAATACCAAACTCCTAGATAGAACCTGCCCAGTCCTGAATGTTTCAAGTATTTGTGCAGTAAATCATTGCACTGAAGATCTCTCTGTTGGTTTGCCACTCAAATAAGTGAAAATAAGTAACATTAAAACATGCCAGGCACTTATTTCACATTTCTTTATTAAACTGATCACATAACAATGGCTGCAATTATGGTTGTCCCACTTTAAAGTTTTGCTAATACCCAACTATAACAACCAAATGATAAAAAATGAGACCCACTAGTTTTCTGCCCAGAATATTCTAATCCTAGACTTTCACACCATGATTCCATCTCATCCGTTCGTTGGCAGCATCATAGTTACATTCAGAAAGGTTTTCTCTGACTAAGGAATTCCAAAATCAACTCCCACTTCTATGCTAAGGAAAAAAAAATCAGATTTAAATATATTTGCTCAGTACACATAACTGAGGTAAATGTTGGTACCATTTTCCTAAATGTGGTAACACACAAATAGCTTATATCTTTATTTTTAAGGCAAGATAGATAGTAACTTATAGATCAGCATAAGAGTATGGCTTATAACTTAGTGAAATGCCTGACCCCAAGGCAGCAGCTGTTCAAACCTAAGAACTTAGGCTTGTTTTCACTCACTGTCCAGCCGTCACCATAGAAAACACAATTTTATATGTATGTAATGACTAACATTGCTGCCATAAAAGTAATCAAGACATTTTCTTTTCTTTTTTTAATAAAGATCTTATTCACTTATTTGAGAAGCAGAGTTACAGATAGGATGAGAGACAGAGAGAAAGGTCTTCCATATGCTGTTTCACTCCCCAGATGCCCACAATGATTGGTGCTGGGCTGACCAGAAGCCAGGAGCCAAGAGCTTCTGCACAGTCTCCTATGTAGGTATAGAGCCCAAGCACTTGGGCCATTGTCTACTGTTTCCCAACGCTATAGCAGAGAGATGGATTAGAAGAGGAGCATCTGGGTCTCAAACAAGTGCCCATATGGGATGCTGACACCGGAGGTGGAGGCTCAGCCTACTATGCCACAGCACTCAATCTGGGGGAATTTAATTTCAAAATTGTTTTTTTATGTTATTTTTATTTAGTAAATATAAATTTCCAAAGTACAGTTAATGGATTACAATGGGTTCCCCCCCATAATTTCCCTTGCACTCACACCCCTCCCATCTCCCGCTCCCTCTCCCCTTCCATTGACATCAAGATTCATTTTCAATTATCTTTATATACTGAAGATCAATTTAGTATAATTAAGTAAAAATTTCATCAGTTTGCACCCACACAGCAACACAAATGTAAAATACTGTTTCAGTACTAGTTATAGCATTACTTCACATTGGACAACACACTAAGGACAGATCCCACATGAGAAGTAAGTACACAGTGACTCCTGTTGTGGACTTAACAATTTGACACTCTTTATGGCGTCAGTAATCCTCCCTAGGCTCTAGTCATGAGTTGCCAAGGCTATGGAAGCCTTTTGAGTTCGCCAACTTCGATCTTATTCCAACAGGGTCATAGTCAAAGTGGAAGTTCCCCCTAAGGTACCTCCTCTTTGATGGCCCTGTTCTTTCCACTGGGATCTCACTCGCAGAGATCTTCCATTTAGGTCTTCTCTTTTTTTTTTCCAGGGTGTTTTGGCTTTCCATGCCTAAAATACTCTCATGGGCTCTTCAGCCAGATCTGAATGCCTTAAGGGCTGATTCTGAGGCCAGAGTGCTGTTTAGGACATCTGCCATTCTGTGAGTCTGCTGTGTATCCTGCTTCCCATGATGGATCATTCTCTCCCTTTTTGATTCTATCAGTTAGTATTAGCAGACACTAGTCTTGTTTGTGTGATCCCTTTGACTCTTAGACCTGAATATAACCCTACCATTCAACCCAGCCATCCCACTCCTTGGAATTTACCCAAAGGAAATTAAATTGGCAAACAAAAAAGCTGTCTGCACATTAATGTTATTGCAGCTCAATTCACAATAGCTAAAACCTGGAACCAACCCAAATGCCCATCAACAGTAGACTGGATAAAGAAATTATGGGACATGTACTCTATAGAATACTATACAGCAGTCAAAAACAACGAAATCTGGTCATTTGCAACAAGACGGAGGAATCTGGAAAACATCATGCTGAGTGAATTAAGCCAGTCCCCAAAGGGACAAATATCATATGTTCTCCCTGATCGGCGACAACTAACTGAGCACCAAAGGGGAAACCTGTTGAAGTGAAATGGACACTATGAGAAACAGTGACTTGATCAGCTCTTGTCCTGACTGTTGATGTACAATGTAATACTTTATCCATTTTAGTATTTTCTCTTTGTTTTGTTCTAGTACCATTGGTTGAACTCTGTGATTAACACACAATTATTCTTAGGTGTTTAAATTTTAACTGGAAAGTGATCCCCGTTAAATACAAGAGTGGGAATAAGAGAGGGAGGAGATGTACAATTTGGGACATGCTCAATCAGACTTGCCCCAAATGGTGGAGTTAGAATCATGCCAGGGGATCCCAATACAATCCCATCAAGGTGGTATGTACCAATGCCATCTCACTAGTCCAAGTGATCAATTTCAGTTCAAATGGTTTTTATTTAAAGGCCCCCACTTATCCAAAATCTTATTGCTATAATCTAACATTTTTATATTCTCCACGTTTCCCCTTCACTGAAATATTCTTTACAGATTGACAATTGACAATACAAATATAATAATGATGATTTGAGGGCCGGTGACATGGCTCAATAGGCTAATCCTCCACCTGCAGCGCCGGCACTCCGGGTTCTAGTCCCGGTCGGGGCGCCGGATTCTGTCCCGGTTGCCCCTCTTCCAGGCCAGCTCTCTGCTATGGCCCGGGAGTGCAGTGGAGGATGGCCCAAGTCCTTGGGCCCTGCACCCGCATGGGAGACCAGGAAAAGCGCCTGGCTCCTGGCTTCGGATCAGCGCAATGCGCCAGCAACAGCGCGCTGGCCACGCCGGCCACTGGAGGGTGAACCAACGGCAAAAGAAGACCTTTCTCTCTGTCTCTCTCTCACTGTCCACTCTGCCTGTCAAAAAAAAAAAATAATGATGATTTGAAGTGTCAGGTATTGATTTGTGAGTTCCAAACTGTGAAAACCCACAGATAAAACAGTTCCTTTTCAAAAGCACATTAGGATGATTAGTCATCCTTGTAGCTACCATAGAACCAGACATTTGGCATAAATTGCACTGTGATAAACCATACATTTAGCTAAATTTTGGAAACTAATTCCTAATTACTTGTGTTAATTAGGCCTTATGTTTTGAACTGTACTGTACTGGCTGCATTAAATTAGTCATGTAGAGAATTGTCACAGTGCACTAGTGCATCAGGAAAATACTCATCACATGATGAAAATGTAAGGAAATAATTCTAATAGGAACACACAGAGGTGAGAAAGAGACATCAAGTCATACCATTCGCAGCTATTTGTCATAGTGTCTCAGACACTAATAGAGCACCTGAATACACTATGTCAGTGCCTGGATTCCATTTCTGGTTTTGGATATGGTATTAAAAATCCTGTTGGGAAGGCCAAAATTGTGGCAAATGGGTAAAGCTGCTGACTGCTATGTTGGCACCCCAGGTGGGCCTCAGTTCATAATTATGCTGTTAGACTTCTGATCCAGTGCCCTGCAAATGGCCTTTGAAAAGTAATGGAAGAAGGCCCTTATGTTTGGGCCCCTGCCACCTACCTAGGAGAACCAGATGAAGCTCTTTCTTTGGCCTGGCTTAGCCCTGACATTGTGACCACTTGTTGAGTGTGCCAGTGAAAGGAAGTAGTCTTTCTCACTGTCTCTCCCTTTCTCTGTATCTATGACTTGGAAATAAATAAGTAAACCTTAAAAATCCTGCTGTGGCTGGTGTGTGGTGCAATACGTGAATCTGCCACTGGCAATGCAGCATCTCATAGTTCCATACTGGAATGTCAGTTTGAGCCCCAACTGTTATTCTCCTAATCTACCTCCTGCCCATGCAACTGGGAAAGCAGCAGAAGAATGGCACAAGTATTTTGTCTACTGTCACCAAAATTTGAGACCTGGCTAGAGCTTTGGGCTCCTGGCTTCAGCCTGGCCCAGCCCTAGCTGCTGTAGCCATTTGGGGAGTCAATTAGTGGATGGAAGAACTCTTTGTCGCTCAATTCTTTCATCCCTCCATCTCTCCATCTTTATCTGTCATTCTGCCTTTCAAATAATAGAATGAATCTCATTAAAAATTTCCAGCTAATACAGACTTAGAAAGGCATGAGGTGATGTCTCAAGCAGTTAGGCCCCTGACAGGGAGACCTGGATGGAGTTTTGAGAACTTAGCTACTGGCTTTGGTTGGGTCTTGTCCCAATCATACCAGAGATTTGGAGAGTAAATTTGTATGTGATAGCTCTGTGGGTTTGCCTTTCATCTCTCTCTGCCTCTTGGTTTCTCAAATAAATGTTTAAAAAGAGAATCAAGAACCATACTCTTCTGTGCTTTAGGTTCTTCTCTATTCAGGATGACCTCCTCCTGCACATTCACAGGGATGGCCCCAACTCTTCCTTTACTTGGCAGTGGCATAGTCACATTCCAAAGAAAAAAAATCTCTGAATACAGAATTCTACACCACGTTCCACCTTTAACCTTATGGAAAATCCCCTGAATATTTTGCAGCCCCACATTCTCTGCTAGATTTATATGAAGGGTGGATAACAAATTATCGTGGATTGCTGCTTGCTATGACATTCTAACCATGACAGAAGTAGCCCTTTTAATATATTCACTGTCTAAAATTCAAGCTTATATTAGGCACAAAACAAAAATAATTATTCATTTTAAAACATTCAAAATATCTCCAGAAAGGCCTGAATGGCCCCGTCACTATATTAACATAGGAAATATAGTAATGATGCAGTAATAAGACTAAACATTTCATGCCAAATCAAATTTCTCAGTTTTTTCATGACACTGCCACTGAGTCACACTGGACTTCAGATTTTAAAAAGTCTACTTGCAAACATAAGTAACTGACATCACTGGATGCTTTTTTCTTCATTCTGTATGTATTTCACTGTTTGCATCATGTTTGCCTATTCTTGCCACGTTATTTTATTGTACTGCCTAAAAGTTAGATATCAATCATTCAGGTGTGGCCACTGGGATTCAAATGACTTATATCACTTTTCACAAGACTCCATTACCAGGGAAAGGCCAGCATATTAACAAGTCTTAGGACTTCAGTGAAGTCACAGAAATCAGTATGAAGCAACTGCTCAAGTCAGAAAGCAAATCCTATCTCATTTCCAGTTGCCACTATGAACATCACCATTATTAATACTTATGTGGTTATGAATATTGCTAGCATGAAGTTACTCAGTATTTTACATTTAAAATGTCTTATGTTTATCAAAACACAGCTAAATCAAAATGATGAAATCTTTACTTAATATATACTAAATCAATCTTCTCTATATAAAGATAATTGAAAATGATTCTTGACGTGAATGGAATGGGAGAGAAAGCAGGAGATGGGAGGGTTGCAGGTGGGAGGGAAGTTATTGGGGGGGAAAAAGCCCTTGTAATCCATAAACTGTACTTTGGAAATTTATATTTACTAAATAAAAGTTTAAAAAATGCCATATGATCTAGCAATCCCACTTCTGCTTATACACCTAAAGACAGGAAAGCACTGTATCAAGGATATCTGTGCACCACCATATTATAGCTGCACTGTTCATAAAAGCAAAAAGAGGAATCAAAGCGCACTTCTAAAGATGAATGAACAGAAAAAGTGCAGCACAGGTATCCAATGTAATAGTATTCAGTCATTTGAAAGAATGAAATTCTGCCATTTGCAGCAAAATGAATGCAACTGGAGGGTATGATGTGGGGGAAAAGAAGCTGGACGCAGAAAAACAAGTATCTCATGTTTTCCCTTAAAAGAGGCAGCTTAAATCGAAAAATGAAGATGAAAAGGCAAATAAGGCAGAAATGCTTGTGTGTTTCGATACTGCTGCAAATGTTGTCTTGATAAGCTTTGTTTTATACCTTTGTCAAGCTCGTGGTTAAGAATATTATGCTACTATAGATTCAATGATCTGGGATTACTTTGAAATTTATTGCAGATAAGTGAAATAGTCCTTTTTCCATTTCATTATTGTCTTTGGCCTTGTCTATATTCCTACTTTACTAGGCCTTTTTTTGCTTTTAACTTGAAGAACCAAGTATTTACAGGAGCCATGGAATGTAATGTAGATCAAGGACATAAACTCAAAGTGAAGCAGAGAAGGGGTAAAGTGAGAGGAAGCAGGGTGGGAGGCACAGAAGGAGAGGGATGGAGGACAAAGGCACATCATTATACTCTTAGAATTCCATGAGCTCTATGGAGCCTAAAACACTAAAAAGATATAGAGAGACTCCAGAAGATATGGATACCATAGTTATCATTGTAATTGTGAAGTCTATTTGTCTTCACAGCTTCTTCAAACAGATAATAATATTAAATGATTTTAAAACTAGCTGCCCTGGCTTCAAGCAAACACCAATTTTGTTTTAACAAGACTGAAATCAGGTATTTCCAAATCACAAGAAGACACACTACCTTCGAATTCCTTGGTGAGTGGCTGTCTTCAGGATCTCTTTGGAAGGTAGACTCCTTACCTACAAATGCAGTAATAGATCAACTAGTGAGAACATTTATTCACATGGAAATAATTTACATAAAGGCGTGTCTGTCTCCACTCATGAATATTGCAATGAAATGAATATTTCAATGAAATAAAACAAATAGTAAGGATGAATTTCAGAGGGTTGAAGCTGTTTCAGGAAGAAGTTGGTTATATTAAAAAAAGCCAAAGAAAACCCTCAACATACATGGATATCCAATTCAGAGCTACTCATTTCTGTTCATTGTATTTTAATAGTAAGTTTTGATAGATATGCACTCACCACGTTTGTTATCTTTGTCCAATCCGTGATCAGAGTCCATCCCATATTTATTAATTGGCTGTTGTGGAGCAACTTGAGTGATGAAAAAACATTTTTTACTCTTCTTACCCGCTACAGCTGATGTTCCTTCCTACAGAACAATAAAATGCAAATTCAACACATATATCCAATTTCTCAACCCCTCAGCTACTCATTCAGTGAGACAGGATTTACTATGTGTATCAAGTCATAGGCCCAGTCCTTGAAAAATCTAAGCATATAAACAAACAGCAGATTCTACCCCATGTTCAGCTAGAGGTAGACATGGGAAAATACAACAGGAAAGTATAAACCACTATTTCTGCCACTGAAGTCAATACAGTTGAAGAAAAGGCAGAAAAAGAATCCTCCATTCAGTCTTGGAAGGTCAGGAAATACTGCTTAATTTCTGGCCGAGAGTTAGAAATGGGTACCAAATAAGGACAGAAAGCCATCCAAGGTGTGAGGTAGATAGCTCATCTGACTTCTTCACCACTGGGCCAAGAGTTTAGCTCCTAATTCTTTTTTCCTAGGTTGTAAAGGCAAGAGAGTTGGCTGAAGCGAATGTCAAGACAGCCTCAAAACCTCTCCTTTACGTAGCTTCAGATAAGTAAGGGGAAGCTTGTATTACATAGGTACTAGGTATCCCACTCTCTCCCAGATAAGAAATATCGTCAAGAATATATGAACAAACAACAAATCTAGTTCAGAAATGGACACAGCACCTCAACAGACCTGTCTCAAAGAAGCCTCTCAGCTTAAAAAAACACACATATCCTAAAGGAAGTCACTGAATGCTTCAGTGATATCTTTGCTTTAGCTTGTATGCATATTTTAGAGTTTACTGTTGTTTTTTTTTTTTTACATTGGCTACCACAGATTCTCATTACACCTACGTGGGCATTAAATACTGGCATATTTTATGAATGTGGTATATGGCATGCCAAAAGGCTATATCATCTTTCCAACGTACTGTAGCTAAAATGACAGTGCAACATACTAATATGTGCTATGACTTAAATAAAGTTAGTGATACCACTATACTGCTTAAACCTAAGAGCTCTGAACATAGCTACCTCACTCTCTTGTTGTCACAGTAAGAAAAAACATTTTAACTTATGTTAGTATGTACATATTTACCAAAAGGATAGTCCAAATTCATCCAATTCTATTTATCTCTATAAAACACCACCAAAGTGGTTGTCCTCCCACAAATTTACTACTTCGCATGTATACCTTGCTCTAAATGTTACTACTTGCGTATCTCAGCTGCTATTCCAAAGATGTTAAGAATGCACTGAAACACAGGTATTAGGTTTTCAACTTGCAAGTTGTGGAAATAACACATCAATTTTGGTATCTAAAAATCTCATCAGCATGACAAGACATCTATAGATATACTGGAATCAGATGTCTGGTGTTACATTCTAAAACAATCTGTTTTTTTGTTCTTGTTGATAAATATAATTTGCAGAGCAAATTTACTTCTTTATATTACCCAGGTCCTATTTATGTGTTTTGAAGTATGCTACAATTGTCACACTAAATAAGTCATGTAGAACTGTAGAAGACTACTAAAGTAGCAGGGCAATGGTTACAACATAATGCATTACTAATTGTTTGATGAAAACAAAGAAATCAGAGAGTCTATGCACACAGATGAAAAAGAAGAGCCACCCCAGTACTCAGTAGGCCCCTGCCCCAGTGGCTCATGCTGTGCAGGACACCAGCATGCAATACGAAAAACTCCAGGGTTCCATTACCGACCCCTGTGCAGGAACCCAGCTTCCTGCAAACGTGCAATCATGGAGCGAGTCAATGATGTCTCAACCTCTTGGGCCCCAGACACCCATGAGGGACACCTGGGTTGAGTTTCTAACTCCTGACATCTTCATTTGGCCTGGCTCTGTTCATGGCGTCACAAACATTTGGCAGGTGATCTCTCGGTGTCTGCCTCACTTGTGTCTTTACTATCTCTCTTGATAAAGTGGGTGGCAGAAAAAAACAAGCACTCTTTTCTATATTTTACCATCGATTAATATAATACTCACATATAAAAGTCACAAGAAAACAAGGGACAGTACCTCAGACTTTAAGGAGTGTTTTAAAGGCTCATCATCTGGTCTGAAGCCAGGCATATCTATAAAACATAGGCAGAGTTGTACTCATGAGAACATTTGTCAACCGTTGCTTTTTTTTTTTAATATATTTTAATTTATTTGAAAGAGTTACACCAAGAGAGGGGGAGAGAGAGAGAGAGAGAGAGAGAGGTCTTCCATCCACTGGTTCACTCCCTACTGGCTGCAACAGCAAGAGCTATGCCAATCTGCAACAGGAGCCAGGAGCTTCTTATGGGTCTCCAATGTGGGCATGTGGGCATGTGGGTGCAGTGGCCCAAGGTCTTGCATCATCTTCTACTTTCCCAGGCCATAGCAGATATCTGGATGGGAAGTAGAACAGCTGGCACTTGAACCAGTGCCCATATGAGATGCCAGCACTGCAGGCGGGGGCTTTACCCACTACACCACATCGCCAGCCCCAACTGTTGCTTTTAAAAATTACGCATTCAGCTGAGTTCATCAATAATATACTAAAATTAAAGTAACAGCAATAAAGAATTTCAGCTAGAGGGCCAGTGCTGTGGCATAGCAGGTAAAGCCACGGCAATTCAGCAATGGCATACCATATGGCTATGGGTGCAAGTTCCAGTGGCCCCACTTCTGATCCAGCTCTCTGCTAATGTACCTGGGTAAGCAATACAAGATAGCCTGTCTTTGGCCCCTTGCACACACATGGGAGACCCAGATGACGCTTCTGGATCCTGGCTTTGGCCTGACCCAGTCCTGCCCATTGTGGCCATTTGGGGAGTGAACCAGCAGATGCAAGACCTCTCTCTCTCTCTCTCGCACACACTCTCTCTCTTTCTCTCTCTCTCTCACACACACACACACTCTGCCTCTATGCCTCTGAATCCACCTCTCCCTCTCTGTATCTCTTTCTGATAAAAACATAAATTAAAAAAAAAGAATTTCTGGTTGTTCAATCAGCACTTTAAACCAGGTTGAGCTGGACATAGAAACAAATAGCGAAAGAAAAATCATCAAAATAATGGAAATCATTTCAGTTGAGACATTAGTACTTAAACAGTGTTTCATTGATAGATACTGACCAATAGCTTTGTCTTCTGGCACTCCAGCAATACCAGATAATGTGTCCTTTGCATGCTCTTGGGCACTTAGACTGACAGCCACATCCTTTTCAGTATCTCCACTTGATGCCATTGACGCTTTTCTCTACAGAAAGAAATAATGCCACAAATTCAGCAAACATTCACTCACATGCTCAGACAAACAGGAAGACGTTTGCTGTGCTTGGGAAGCAATAGGCGCCCTCAAACAATGAGCTAAATATAAGGAAGAAGACAGATTCTATCCTGTAGACTAGGGGCAAATTGACCTATGTCGAACAAAGAACAGAAAACCAAAATTCCTCATTTTCAACTATCGCAGTCAGTAAATTACAATGAGGGTAGGATGACAGAATCTTCAGCATGACTTTGAAAACTCAGGAAAGGCTGTAGGGTTAGGAACACATTTAGTACGGCAGAGAAAATGCAGGGGCAAAGCATGATGGGCCTTCTAAACAGAGCAGTGTGAACAAAAGGAGGAGGCAAAACATGGCAAATGAGGGTTAATAAAGTAAGGAAGTAAAATGGCCAACATATTATTGAAACTGAGAGAGACAGGTGCAGCATGTATCCAAGACCAAACCATGAATGCCTATGGCATGCTGGAATCGGAGCTCGGCAGCAATGGGCTCCATCTTTCTCATTCACCATTTGGTCAATGTAGAAGAATATTTATAGTTACTGCTAGTACTAACATATCTGTCATAAACATGTTGAATTCATTAAATTTTCCAAGATAGCCTGTGTTTATTAAAGACACCATTTAAACAGGCTTTATTTTCCCAAAAGAAAAATGAATGATTACTCATGTTTTACCTCATGCTGAAATGCCATTACTTCTGATTAATAATGGCATTTTGATTCATTATGCTTTTATTTGGAATTCTAAGCACATAGAAATGGCAGTCCAAATATTTCTCTCAAAATCTCATTCAGATGAACAGGTGGCATTAGATATCACAAAATAATGTTATTCACATTGGTGGAGCTAAAATAAACTTTTAATTTTCAAGATATAGCTAGTTTCCAAACCAAAACTGATTCCTTATCTCTCTCAGGCCTACTTTATTATTGTCTACGTTTAACTACACCAACGGACTCACACACATGTGTAGATCTTCTCTAACGTGGCAGTGCACTGTTTACAATGCATTACTAACTTTATGATGGAAATAAATCATACAGGGCAGGCGTGAGAAAGGAAACTCAAACCTTCCTCTTTGTAGTCACTTGCTACAGTGGCTCGGATGCTAAGTGGGACAACAGCATACAGTATTTCAGGGTTCCTTTATTGATTCCTGCTTCTCTCCCTCGCATCTTACTGAGGCATATGCAAGGAAGAAATAGGTAGTGACTTAAGCTGTTGTGTCCCTGGCTCCCATGGGAGGCCTGGGTTTAGTTTCTGACTCCTTTCACCTGGAATAGGCCTGGCAGGCATCTGGCCGGTATACTGTCTGTGTGTGTCTGCACACGCATCTTTCTTATCTTTCTCTCTGCCTTTGAAATAATTTTTAAAAGGCAAAAAAGGAGCAACTACACCTTTACACATCTCAGCATCAATTAATGCTCACATTTCAAAGTCACAAGAAAGTAAAAGGCAATAGCGCAGATTTGGAAGTGGATTCCAGACGTTCATCTTCTGATCTGGAGGTAGCCACTGGATTTACAAAACCTAATCACAGCCCCTTGAATGAGAACATGTATTTCTATGAAGTTTATAGGTAAATCCACAATCTACCACCATTCAGGAATATTGCAATAAAATGACAGTAGTGGCAATAAAGTGCAGAATGTAGAAACTATTGTAATAGGGAGATACTTAGCATATACATAAAGCTAAAGAAAATGCAAAAGGAAATGAATGTCATAATGGGACCTACACTTCCCAGTTTCAACAGCAGCAATGATACCGTGATTCATTAAAATATACTGACCTCTTTGGCTATCCTAGCCCAACTACATGACAGGAAATAATCCAGAATATCTCCTTCTGGGACACCTCCAGTGGCAGCACGACCTTCACCCTTTCCACTTGATGTTTCTTCCTATGCCAAAAATTAATTAATTAACTAATTAATAAATACTAAAGCAAAACAAGCAATCCAGAAACTCAGCAAACAATCAGTGGCTCCATCACTAAGATACAATTTAATCTGCTTGTCAATTCCTAGGCACATTTCCTCCAGAAAGATAAATATATAAACAGAGGTATTTTCTACCCTATGCTAAGTGGGAGCAGATACATAGGAAAACAAAGAATAGGAGCATATAATTCATCACTTCTACCATGAGGTAAAAAAAAATAAGCTACAGTAAAGGCTGACTTGAAACAAGACCCACAGCTTTCAGCATATACAAAAACTCAATTCAAAATGGATCAAGGAACTAAACTTAATACCTGAGGGTATCAAGGTACTACAGGAAAACCTAAGAGAAATGCTGTGAGGCATTGGCCTAGGCAAATACTTTTTGGATAAGACTCTCAAAGCACTGGTGCTAAAAACACAAACAGGCAGACAGGACTGAATCAAGCTAAGAAGAGTCTGCCTATCAAAGGAAGCTGTGCATCTAATTTATCTTCTATTCTATTAACTCATTTTCAGAGGGTATAAAGAGCTCAGGAAACTTAACAACAACAAAGCAAACAATCTCAGGAAGAAACAGGTACAGGAAAGAACAGGTATTATTCAAAGGACGAAATACAAATGGTCAACAGACACATGAAAACATGCTCAGGGAAAAGCAAATAAACAACATAATGAGGTATCACTTCTCTCCAGTAAGAACAGCTGTTAGCCAAAATCAAAGAATAACAAAAGCTGCTGAAGTGGTGTAGCCAAATTCAGTAGTGGTAGGAACACAAATCGGTATAGCCGTTAAGGAAAACAACACAGAGATTCTGTAGAAAACGAAAAATGGATCTACCATGTGACCCAGTTCTCCAACACTCGGGAATGCATCCAAAGAAAGCAAAACAGGCATATGAGACTGGTACCTGCATTCTCATGTTAAGAGTAGCACAAGTCACAGTAGTAAAGGGATGAAGTCAGCCTTTGAGCTCCATCAACTAATGACTGCACAATGTTACATGCTGAACTATCACTCAGCCATAAACTATGAATTACTGATATTTGGAGCAAAACATGGAACTGGAGATCATTATTCTAAGTGAAGTAAGCCACCCAGAAACACAAATACTACGTTTTCATTTATTTGTAAAAGTAAATTTATAGAGAGCACAAAGTTGTGTGGCTATCATATGATCTGATATATATAATTAGAAGTATTGTGACACTGAGTTATTGTATTACACAACAATATATTCCTCTGCTTCACAAAATGATCAATGAATACCTCATTAGGTAACATTATTATCCATTTTCAAAAAAAGAGTGCATACATGTATACCTGTAATATATACATAAGATGTGACTGTGGCAAAATGTAAAAGAACCTGTTGAATCTTAAAGCTAAAAAAAATGTATAAAAACATTCAAAAGGCTGAAGAAACACACACCACTTTTATGTCTTAATGTCATTGAAACCTTGCATGGACAAGTACCTCAGAATCCCACGGTGATTCTACAGCTTCATCACTTATTCCGGAGATAGGCACTGCAACTACAAAATGTAGTAAGCGATCGACTAAGAAGAATATTTATGAAATGTACAGACACACGCAATTCATCTCTCTCTCCACTCATAAGTAACTGGAGAAGCCAAAGGTAATACTGAGAAGGTGCTTTAGAGGACTGAGCAGTTTTAGGGAAAATGTCAGAAATATTAAAGCAAAACAAAACAAAACTCCCAAAACAAAGGTAAAATAAAATGGATGTAGGATTTCATTTAACACAACGTTGATGTTTCATTTAGCAGTAACGTTGAAAAAGAAGAACATACATACACTCAAGGACCGCTTCTACTACCTCAGGGGATCAGTCTCTACTAACTTGCATGCCTAGAAATTGGTTAAGTGGGGCAATACCTTCTTCCCTCTTTAGAGGTTCTGCAGAGGATTCCTCCTATAGAAAACAAGGAACCACAAATTTAGCACACATACACATTCAATTACTCAACTACTCACTAAGACAAACATTTACTGTGTCTATCAAAACATAGGCACCACCTAACGAAGACAGGCATGTACACAGAGGCGCATTCTACTCTAGGCTTCCATTGGGGTATATATACATATAGAGGAAAACAATGAAAAGGAAATTAAGATTCACTGATTCTACTACTGACATGATAAATGAAGAGGTTACAGAAGAAGCTGGAATTACAGAAGCTTCAGTTCAGCCGTGACAGTTTACAAAACAGGACAAGGCCACAGCCGTATATTTAAAGTACACAAAGTACAGGGGGATTGTGTGTAGGGTCTTCTGAGAGAGGCTGCAGGAACAGAATGATGAGACAGAAAACAACACGACAAATGAGGGTAAGAAAGTAAGAAGGTAACATTACAACACATTGCTTGGGACTGGGATAGAGTTACTGTAGAGAATCAGGGTCAAGCTGCAACTGGCATGTGGTATGCTACAATCTGAACACTTTTCTGTACAAGACTCCATAGAATCATGGCTCAATACTCTAGTCATGAATATAATTTAGAAAGGCCAATCTGGCAGGATGTTCAGATGCATGCAATGCATTCTCTGAAGCATTTCTCAGATTTGAGAGCCTCCGGAGTCTTAGAAGTCATATCTAGAAGAAGACTTGCGGTACAGGAGCAAAAAAAAAAAAAAAAAAAAAAAAAAACACTCTAGGAAATGATGGCTGGTCTAAAAGATAAATGAATACAATAAGCTAAAATTGTATAAGCAAATTTTTGTAATCATAGACTAAATCCTGATATTTTGGAAGTGAAAAAAAGGGGCAAACTATCATGAGTTTCTCATGGAAAATGACAATTATCAATGATTTTATCAGGGATCTAAACTGTAACTCTTTTTCTATGTAGTTCTGTCATGTTGCTGTAACATGCAGTCGTAAATTTCAGAAAAGACTTATGTCAATGCAATCTATTGGAGATACTGAAATAGGAGATGGTAAAACATACATCTAAACATTTTCAAGGTCAGAAGTGCCAAGGAGATGCCAGAGTAATGAAGAATCCTTTTCTGTACCACGATGATTTCAGATAGATATCCAAAACCATTCAGCATTAAGTTCAATCTGGTTTCCTTGTTTTTTAGTTAATTACATTTTTGAGCCTTCAAAACTAAAAGTACATAATAAGAAAAGGGGAGAGGGGTTATAGATCCACAGACATAGACCTAGACCTAGCCATAGAAATAGTCATAGACATAGACATATAGACACAGATATAGATACAGACATCAACAGAAGTATAAACATAGACGACAGAATCAGAGGGAGAGCGAAAGTGAGAGATCAGACAGAATCCTAGAGAGGGTTTCATTATTCATATTTCTGCAAAGTCCAGTCTAGCATTTTGTAAAATCAGGAGCTGGGGACTCAATTTCTCCCAATGGGTAGCAAAGAATGAATTATTAATCCATGGAAGCCTGACAGGGTGCCTCCTGGCTGAAAGTTAGATCAGGCACAAGAAAAGGACAGAAGCCATCCGAGGTGTGAGGTAGATAGCTCATCTGACTTCTTCACCACTGGGCCAAGAGTTTAGCTCCTAATTCTTTTTCACTAGGTTGTAAAGACAAGAGAGTTGGCTGAAGCAAATGTCAAGACAGCCTCAAAACCTCTCCCTTACGTAGCTTCAGATAAGTAAGGGGAAGCTTGTATTACATAGGTACTAGGTATCCCACTCTCTCCCAGATAAGAAATATCGTCAAGAATATATGAACAAACAACAAATCTAGCTCAGAAATCGACACAGCACCTCAACAGACCTGTCTCGAAATAAGAGATAGAAATGGCAATCAATATGACAGTATGTTCAACATCACCAACCACCAGGGAAATGCATATCAATGCCTCAAAGAGATATCACACCACCCCTTCTCAAGATAGCGAAAATGTTTATCTGCCTGTCTTATGTAAGTAGCTGTCTCTCAAGTAACTTTATACCTTCAAGCAAACACCAATTTTGTTTTAACATCACTGAAATCAGATATTTCCAACTCACAAGAAGACACACTACCTTCGAATTCCTTGGTGAGTTGTTGTCTTCAGGATCTCTTTGGGAGGTAGACTCCTTACCTACAAATGCAGTAACAGATCAACTAGTGAGAACATTTATTCACATGGAAACAATTTACATAAAGGCGTGTCTCTCTCCACTCATGAATATTGCAATGAAACGAATATTTCAATGAAATAAAAGGAATAGTAAGGATGAATTTCAGAGGGTTGAAGCTGTTTCAGGAAGAAGTTGGTTATATTAAAAAAAGCCAAAGAAAACCCTCAAAATAAATGGATATCCAATTTAGAGCTACTCATTTCTCTTCATTGTATTTTAATATTAAGTTTCGAAGGATAGGCACTCACTACCCATGTTACCATTGTCCAATCCACGATCATAGTTGAACGCATATTCATTAATTGGCTGTTGTGGAGCAACTTGAGTGATGGCGATATCTTTTAAGCCCTTCTTACTCGCTAAGGTTGACATTCCTTCCTACAGGAAGATAAAATACAAATTCAACAAATACACCCAAGTTCTCAACCCCTCAGCCACTCATTCAGGGAGACAGGATTTACTATGTGTGTCATGTCACAGGAACAGTCCTTGCAAAGGTTGAGCATATAAACAAAGAGCAGATTCTACCCCATACTCAGTTAAGCATATACACAAAGAGCAGATTCTACCCCCACGTTCTTTCAGTTGAGCATATAAACAAAGAGCAGATTCTACCCCATGTTTAGCTAGAGGTAGACATGGGAAAATACAACAGGAAAGTATAAACCACTATTTCTGCCACTGAAGTCAATACAATTGAAGAAAAGGCAGAAAAAAGAATCCTCAATTCAGTCTTGCAAGGTCAGGAAATACTGCTTGATTTCTGGCCGAGAGTTAGAATTGGGTACAAAATAAGGACAGAAAGCTATCCGAGGTGTGAGGTAGATAGCTCATCTGACTTCTTCACCACTGGGCCAAGAGTTTAGCTCCTAATTCTTTTTCACTAGGTTGTAAAGACAAGAGAGTTGGCTGAAGCAAATGTCAAGACAGCCTCAAAACCTCTCCCTTACGTAGCTTCAGATAAGTAAGGGGAAGCTTGTATTACATAGGTACTAGGTATCCCACTCTCTCCCAGATAAGAAATATCGTCAAGAATATATGAACAAACAACAAATCTAGCTCAGAAATCGACACAGCACCTCAACAGACCTGTCTCGAAATAAGAGATAGAAATGGCAATCAATATGACAGTATGTTCAACATCACCAACCACCAGGGAAATGCATATCAATGCCTCAAAGAGATATCACACCACCCCTTCTCAAGATAGCGAAAATGTTTATCTGCCTGTCTTATGTAAGTAGCTGTCTCTCAAGTAACTTTATACCTTCAAGCAAACACCAATTTTGTTTTAACATCACTGAAATCAGATATTTCCAACTCACAAGAAGACACACTACCTTCGAATTCCTTGGTGAGTTGTTGTCTTCAGGATCTCTTTGGGAGGTAGACTCCTTACCTACAAATGCAGTAACAGATCAACTAGTGAGAACATTTATTCACATGGAAACAATTTACATAAAGGCGTGTCTCTCTCCACTCATGAATATTGCAATGAAACGAATATTTCAATGAAATAAAGGAATAGTAAGGATGAATTTCAGAGGGTTGAAGCTGTTTCAGGAAGAAGTTGGTTATATTAAAAAAAGCCAAAGAAAACCCTCAAAATAAATGGATATCCAATTTAGAGCTACTCATTTCTCTTCATTGTATTTTAATATTAAGTTTCGAAGGATAGGCACTCACTACCCATGTTACCATTGTCCAATCCACGATCATAGTTGAACGCATATTCATTAATTGGCTGTTGTGGAGCAACTTGAGTGATGGCGATATCTTTTAAGCCCTTCTTACTCGCTAAGGTTGACATTCCTTCCTACAGGAAGATAAAATACAAATTCAACAAATACACCCAAGTTCTCAACCCCTCAGCCACTCATTCAGGGAGACAGGATTTACTATGTGTGTCATGTCACAGGAACAGTCCTTGCAAAGGTTGAGCATATAACAAAGAGCAGATTCTACCCCATACTCAGTAAGCATATACACAAAGAGCAGATTCTACCCCCACGTTCTTTCAGTTGAGCATATAAACAAAGAGCAGATTCTACCCCATGTTTAGCTAGAGGTAGACATGGGAAAATACAACAGGAAAGTATAAACCACTATTTCTGCCACTGAAGTCAATACAATTGAAGAAAAGGCAGAAAAAAGAATCCTCAATTCAGTCTTGCAAGGTCAGGAAATACTGCTTGATTTCTGGCCGAGAGTTAGAATTGGGTACAAAATAAGGACAGAAAGCCATCCGAGGTGTGAGGTAGATAGCTCATCTGACTTCTTCACCACTGGGCCAAGAGTTTAGCTCCTAATTCTTTTTTCCTAGGTTCTAAAGACAAGAGAGTTGGCTGAAGCGAATGTCAAGACAGCCTCAAAACCTCTCCTTTACGTAGCTTCAGATAAGTAAGGGGAAGCTTGTATTACATAGGTACTAGGTATCCCACTCTCTCCCAGATAAGAAATATCGTCAAGAATATATGAACAAACACCAAATCTAGCTCAGAAATGGACACAGCACCTCAACAGACCTGTCTCGAAATAAGAGATAGAAATGGCAATCAATATGACAGTATGTTCAACATCACCATCCACCAGGGAAATGCATATCAGTGCCTCAAAGAGATATCACACCACCCCTTCTCAAGATAGTGAAAATGTTTATCTGCCTGTCTTATGTAAGTAGCTGTCTCTCAAGTAACTTTATACCTTCAAGCAAACACCAATTTTGCTTTAACATCACTGAAATCAGATATTTCCAACTCACAAGAAGACACACTACCTTCGAATTCCTTGGTGAGTTGTTGTCTTCAGGATCTCTTTGGGAGGTAGACTCCTTACCTACAAATGCAGTAACAGATCAACTAGTGAGAACATTTATTCACATGGAAACAATTTACATAAAGGCGTGTCTCTCTCCATTCATGAATATTGCAATGAAATGAATATTTCAATGAAATAAAAGGAATAGTAAGGATGAATTTCAGAGGGTTGAAGCTGTTTCAGGAAGAAGTTGGTTATATTAAAAAAAGCCAAAGAATACCCTCAAAATAAATGAATATCCAATTCAGAGCTACTCATTTCTCTTCATTGTATTTTTATAATAAGTTTTGATAGATATGCACTCACTACGTTTGTTATCTTTGTCCAATCCGTGATCAGAGTTCATAATTGGCTGTTGTGGAGCAACTTGAGCGATGAAAAAACGTTTTTTACTCTTCTTACCCGCTACAGCTGACGTTCCTGCCTACAGAACAATAAAATACAAATTCAACACATATATCCAATTTCTCAACCCCTCAGCTACTCATTCAGTGAGACAGGATTTACTATGGGTATCAAGTCATAGGCCCAGTCCTTGAAAAATCTAAGCATATACACAAAGAGCAGATTGTACCCCATGTTCAGTTAGAGGTAGACATGGGAAAATACAACAGGAAAGTATAAACCACTATTTCTGCCACTGAAGTCAATACAGTTGAAGAAAAGGCAGAAAAGAGAATCCTCAATTCAGTCTTGGAAGGTCAGGAAATACTGCTTAATTTCTGGCCGAGAGTTAGAATTGGGTACAAAATAAGGACAGAAAGCCATCCGAGGTGTGAGGTAGATAGCTCATCTGACTTCTTCACCACTGGGCCAAGAGTTTAGCTCCTAATTCTTCTTTCCTAGGTTCTAAAGACAAGAGAGTTGGCTGAAGCGAATGTCAAGACAGCCTCAAAACCTCTCCTTTACGTAGCTTCAGATAAGTAAGGGGAAGCTTGTATTACATAGGTACTAGGTATCCCACTCTCTCCCAGATAAGAAATATCGTCAAGAATATATGAACAAACACCAAATCTAGCTCAGAAATGGACACAGCACCTCAACAGACCTGTCTCGAAATAAGAGATAGAAATGGCAATCAATATGACAGTATGTTCAACATCACCATCCACCAGGGAAATGCATATCAATGCCTCAAAGAGATATCACACCACCCCTTCTCAAGATAGCGAAAATGTTTATCTGCCTGTCTTATGTAAGTAGCTGTCTCTCAAGTAACTTTATACCTTCAAGCAAACACCAATTTTGTTTTAACATCACTGAAATCAGATATTTCCAACTCACAAGAAGACACACTACCTTCGAATTCCTTGGTGAGTTGTTGTCTTCAGGATCTCTTTGAGTGGTAGACTCCTTACCTACAAATGCAGTAACAGATCAACTAGTGAGAACATTTATTCACATGGAAACAATTTACATAAAGGCGTGTCTCTCTCCATTCATGAATATTGCAATGAAATGAATATTTCAATGAAATAAAAGGAATAGTAAAGGATGAATTTCAGAGGGTTGAAGCTGTTTCAGGAAGAAGTTGGTTATATTAAAAAAAGCCAAAGAAAACCCTCAACATACATGGATACCCAATTCAGAGCTACTCATTTCTCTTCATTGTATTTTAATATTAAGTTTCGAAGGATAGGCACTCACTACCCATGTTACCATTGTCCAATCCACGATCATAGTTGAACGCATATTCATTAATTGGCTGTTGTGGAGCAACTTGAGTGATGGCGATATCTTTTAAGCCCTTCTTACTCGCTAAGGTTGACATTCCTTCCTACAGGAAGATAAAATACAAATTCAACAAATACACCCAAGTTCTCAACCCCTCAGCCACTCATTCAGGGAGACAGGATTTACTATGTGTGTCATGTCACAGGAACAGTCCTTGCAAAGGTTGAGCAATATAACAAGAGCAGATTCTACCCCATACTCAGTTAAGCATATACACAAGAGCAGATTCTACCCCCACGTTCTTTCAGTTGAGCATATAAACAAAGAGCAGATTCTACCCATGTTCAGCTAGAGGTAGACATGGGAAAATACAACAGGAAAGTATAAACCACTATTTCTGCCACTGAAGTCAATACAATTGAAGAAAAGGCAGAAAAAAGAATCCTCAATTCAGTCTTGCAAGGTCAGGAAATACTGCTTGATTTCTGGCCGAGAGTTAGAATTGGGTACAAAATAAGGACAGAAAGCTATCCGAGGTGTGAGGTAGATAGCTCATCTGACTTCTTCACCACTGGGCCAAGAGTTTAGCTCCTAATTCTTTTTTCCTAGGTTCTAAAGGCAAGAGAGTTGGCTGAAGCGAATGTCAAGGACAGCCTCAAAACCTCTCCTTTACGTAGCTTCAGATAAGTAAGGGGAAGCTTGTATTACATAGGTACTAGGTATCCCACTCTCTCCCAGATAAGAAATATCGTCAAGAATATATGAACAAACACCAAATCTAGCTCAGAAATGGACACAGCACCTCAACAGACCTGTCTCCAAATAAGAGATAGAAATGGCAATCAATATGACAGTATGTTCAACATCACCATCCACCAGGGAAATGCATATCAGTGCCTCAAAGAGATATCACACCACCCCTTCTCAAGATAGCGAAAATGTTTATCTGCCTGTCTTATGTAAGTAGCTGTCTCTCAAGTAACTTTATACCTTCAAGCTAACACCAATTTTGTTTTAACATCACTGAAATCAGATATTTCCAACTCACAAGAAGACACACTACCTTCGAATTCCTTGGTGAGTTGTTGTCTTCAGGATCTCTTTGAGTGGTAGACTCCTTACCTACAAATGCAGTAACAGATCAACTAGTGAGAACATTTATTCACATGGAAACAATTTACATAAAGGCGTGTCTCTCTCCATTCATGGCTATTGCAATGAAATGAATATTTCAATGAAATAAAAGGAATAGTAAGGATGAATTTCAGAGGGTTGAAGCTGTTTCAGGAAGAAGTTGGTTATATTAAAAAAAAGCCAAAGAATACCCTCAAAATAAATGAATATCCAATTCAGAGCTACTCATTTCTCTTCATTGTATTTTTATAATAAGTTTTGATAGATATGCACTCACTACGTTTGTTATCTTTGTCCAATCTGTGATCAGAGTTCATAATTGGCTGTTGTGGAGCAACTTGAGCGATGAAAAAACGTTTTTTACTCTTCTTACCCGCTACAGCTGACGTTCCTGCCTACAGAACAATAAATACAAATTCAACACATATATCCAATTTCTCAACCCCTCAGCTACTCATTCAGTGAGACAGGATTTACTATGGGTATCAAGTCATAGGCCCAGTCCTTGAAAAATCTAAGCATATACACAAAGAGCAGATTGTACCCCATGTTCAGTTAGAGGTAGACATGGGAAAATACAACAGGAAAGTATAAACCACTATTTCTGCCACTGAAGTCAATACAGTTGAAGAAAAGGCAGAAAAGAGAATCCTCAATTCAGTCTTGGAAGGTCAGGAAATACTGCTTAATTTCTGGCCGAGAGTTAGAATTGGGTACAAAATAAGGACAGAAAGCCATCCGAGGTGTGAGGTAGATAGCTCATCTGACTTCTTCACCACTGGGCCAAGAGTTTAGCTCCTAATTCTTCTTTCCTAGGTTCTAAAGGCAAGAGAGTTGGCTGAAGCGAATGTCAAGACAGCCTCAAAACCTCTCCTTTACGTAGCTTCAGATAAGTAAGGGGAAGCTTGTATTACATAGGTACTAGGTATCCCACTCTCCCCCAGATAAGAAATATCGTCAAGAATATATGAACAAACACCAAATCTAGCTCAGAAATGGACACAGCACCTCAACAGACCTGTCTCCAAATAAGAGATAGAAATGGCAATCAATATGACAGTATGTTCAACATCACCAACCACCAGGGAAATGCATATCAGTGCCTCAAAGAGATATCACACCACCCCTTCTCAAGATAGCGAAAATGTTTATCTGCCTGTCTTATGTAAGTAGCTATCTCTCAAGTAACTTTATACCTTCAAGCAAACACCAGTTTTGTTTTAACAAGACTGAAATCAGGTATTTCCAACTCACAAGAAGACACACTACCTTCGAATTCCTTGGTGAGTTGTTGTCTTCAGGATCTCTTTGGGAGGTAGACTCCTTACCTACAAATGCAGTAACAGATCAACTAGTGAGAACATTTATTCACATGGAAACAATTTACATAAAGGCGTGTCTCTCTCCATTCATGGCTATTGCAATGAAATGAATATTTCAATGAAATAAAAGGAATAGTAAGGATGAATTTCAGAGGGTTGAAGCTGTTTCAGGAAGAAGTTGGTTATATTAAAAAAAGCCAAAGAAAACCCTCAACATACATGGATATCCAATTCAGAGCTACTCATTTCTCTTCATTGTATTTTAATAGTAAGTTTTGATAGATATGCACTCACTACGTTTGTTATCTTTGTCCAATGCGTGATCAGAGTCCAGCCCATGTTTATTAATTGGCTGTTGTGGAGCAACTTGAGTGATGAAAAAACGTTTTTTACTCTTCTTACCCGCTATAGTTGACGTTCCTTCCTACAGAACAATAAAATACAAATTCAACACATATATCCAATTTCTCAACCCCTCAGCTACTCATTCAGTGAGACAGGATTTACTATGTGTATCAAGTCATAGGCCCAGTCCTTGAAAAATCTAAGCATATACACAAAGAACAGATTCTACCCCATGTTCAGTTAGAGGTAGACATGGGAAAATAGAACAGAAAAGTATAAATCACTGTTTGCATCGTTGAAGTATATATAGTAGAAGAATAGGCAGAGAAGTGTATCCTCGAGTTAATCTTGGAAGGTCAGCAAATATTGTTTATTTGGGGCTACATTTTGAAACGCAGATCAAATGAAATCAAAAGTAAGACATGAAGGCATTGTATACAGCACAGATGAGGCAAAATATTGTATAGCAATAAACAAGGCAAATTAGCAGCCCCAGATATGGAGCTACAATGAGAACGTCCTTAGTAGAATGGGGTTTAGTGATGTACGGCAGATTTAAGACCTAAGGACCAAACCAATGGTCATGCTGGAATGTGAATTCTCCCCTACTGGAATGGAAATCTACTCAATAAGCAGTTGAACTACATGATTACAAATATGTTTAAGGGATCACTCTGGCAGGAAATACACAATGTACGAAAATGTCTTCAGTTAGGCAATACGAGATTTGATGCACACAGAGAACTTAGAAACCACATTGTGTCAAAGGAAAAAAAAAAACTAACATTGAACACAAAACAAAAAGTAGAGGGTGGGAGGTTATGGGGGATAGAGAAAATTTGAAATAGGGGTAAGAAACCAGAGTTACATTGAAGGAATGACTTCCTACTGCACTCACCTCCATCGCTGGGAAGAACCAGCACAGCAAAGGAAACGCCCGTGTCTAAGAGACTGACTGAAGGAAATCTTTGGTAAGGAAGTAAGGACAACTCTAAATGGCAATAGGCTCAGAGAGCCAGTACAGAGAGAGGCAAGAACAAAGTTGTGAGGGAATTATGTTTTACAATAACCTAACACACACTGCATGAGCAAACAGAAGAATCCTCAAACCTGCAATCATAAAGTAACACGAAGGAATGAAAAATCTTAGTCATCCTGTTTTGCTCAGTACACATAATATACATGTATTGAAATACCACACTGTGGCCCTTAAATGTGTCATATTTAGTCACTCAAGAATTTTGAAAAGAAATGGGAGTAGACAAATATATAGTCATATATATATAATGCACTGAAATACAATACTGTGACCCATAAATGTGTCATATTTAGTCACTAAAAATTTTTCAAAAGAAATGGGAATAGACAAAATCACTCAGAAAAAGCATATAATAAGAAAATACATATAAATAAATATTTGTAAAACATTAAAATAATATAAGCAAATAATGTAAACATAAACTGAATTCTGAAATTTGGAAAACGAAAATAAAAAGGCAGAACCTATGAGATTTAATTTTTCAATTACATATTTCTACATACGTTTGCAGCATACAAAATTTCATATTTCTACATTTGTTTCAAGAATTTAAAATAAAATTTTAATTTATAAATTGAAATATTACATACATTTCTTACTATAGTGAGAATATGTGCTTCTGGAGTTTATGGTAATAAGCATTTTTCAAATCTGTTAAAAATATAGTTCTGTGAAAAAATATAAGAGGCTACAGGAGGACTGTTTTTCAAAAGCCTTGATTGCTTTAAATGTCACAAAACAAAGTCCTGAGAGTCAGTACTCTGATTAAGCAGGTTGAGCTGCCAGACTATTCCTTTTGTATTTTAAAAATTATCTCAGTTTCTCACAAAAAATAAGGAGACAGAAGGAAACAGGAAGAAGAGAAAATGAAATAGAGTGGCACAGAGAAGTAGGCCTGCAGAGGTGCCATTTGCTAATTCACTCTCCAAAAGCCTGTAAGGGCCAGGGCTCAGCCACACCAATGCTAGGACCTGAGTACTCCAACCATTTTTTTTTCTCAGAACTTTTACTATGGGTTGAGTCAAATGGCAACGTAGTCAGGAAATCTTTCCTTTGTGTAATGTTCAAACAACAGTAAGCAAATACATGTGTAAGGTACATATGCAACTCTTTTCCAACTAGGCAATATCTTCAAAGTTATAAAAATCTCTACAAAGAGATAAATAGGGAGTCATGTTTTAGCTCCTAAAATGTGACATTCATTTCACATTATGTTTTCCACAAGTGACAATATAAATATCACCATGATTATGGCTGTCTCATGGTGTGAGGCTTGCTCATTTCTAATGCTTAGTATGATGAGGTCTGAGAGAGAGAAGAGAGGGAAAAAAAGCTGCATACAGAGGCCCTGCACTCACCTCCACCGCTGGGAAGAACCAGCACAGCAAAGGAAACACCCGGTGTCTAAGAGACTGACTGAAGGAAATCTTTGGTAAGGAAGTAAGGACAACTCTAAATGGCAATAGGCTCAGAGAGCCAGTACAGAGAGAGGCAAGAACAAAGTATACTGTAGCTCCTACGCTGGTGTTATGGCCAGGGGGACTCTATCTCGCTGAGGAAAGTAAGCAGAAGCCTCTAAGATTCCCACCATTATGGCAGAGCAGTGGCCCTAACTACAGAATTCCACCGTCCTCGGTTTTCATTTACCTAGAAAGCTGACTGTGTCTGAGGGCCTTCTTTGCCCTAAGAAAGACTCCATTTTGCCAGTGCCGCGGCTCACTAGGCTAATGCTCTGCCTTGCGGCGCCGGCACACCGGGTTCTAGTCCCGGTCGGGGCGCCGGATTCTGTCCTGGTTGCCCCTGTTCCAGGCCAGCCCTCTGCTGTGGCCAGGGAGTGCAGTGGAGGATGGCCCAAGTCCTTGGGCCCTGCACCCCATGGGGGACCAGGAAAAGCACCTGGCTCCTGGCTCCTGCCATCGGATCAGCGCGGTGCGCCGGCCGCAGCACGCCGGCCGCGGCGGCCATTGGAGGGTGAACCAATGGCAAAGGAAGACCTTTCTCTCTGTCTCTCTCTCTCACTGTCCACTCTGCCTGTCAAAAAAAAAAAAAAAAAAAAGAAAGAAAGAAAAAGAAAGACTCCATTTTGCCTCTTTCCAAATCCCCAGACCCAAGTGGTTGCAGCAACACTGCGGCTATCCCTTATTCTGTCTTGGGGACAGCAAGTACCCCTGATGCTACCAGCAGTCCCCAGATTCCACCTGCCACCTGCCCCTGCCCACAGCCAGAGCCAGGCTGCTTTACAGGGCAGACAGCAGGTCCCTGCCTATACGGCTGAATTGCTGGGCACAGCTTCAGGGCTCTGTCTTCTGCCTGTTTTTAAAAAGACAGAAGAAACAAGCACTCCATTCTAGATTTGAACATCACTTAGTGCTTATATTTAAAATATCATAACAAGAGACAGTACCTCAGGGTCTGAAGTTGATTCTTTAGCTTCATCTTCTGCTCCTAAAGTAAACACCATTTCTATAAGAGGTAGTCATAGATCTGATAATAAACGTTATTATGAATTCTAAATACACATACACAGATGGGATCAGGCGCATTCAGGGTGTATGGCCATAGATTATCTTCCAGAGTGGCTATACTATTTTGCATATGGAAGAGCAATGAATGAGTATCCCTATTGCTCTATTTCCTTATCTGCAATCACTGTTGTCACTGTTTTGAAATCCCTAGCAGTTCATGATGTTCAGAATCACTTCTTCAGTTCACTTGCCATCTGTTTATCTTCCATGGGAAGGTGTTTGTTCCGCTATTTTTCCTATTTTTAAGCCTGTTTGGTATTTTTTAAATTTAGCTTTAAGAGTTCTCTAAACGGTTTGGATAATAGCTGTGTCTTTGTTGAAATATATCTTATACAAATATTCTTTCCAGGTTATTTATTATACCCTTGGTGGTATATTGGAAGAACTAAAATTTTGTTTCTTATCACTATTCACTTTTCATGAACATCAATATACTTGCAGAAACTGAGAATAACTGGTCTTTACAACTTGTTCACCCTGAAGATGCTTATGCAAATCTCATCCGTGGCTGTCATACATTTTGTTACCTTAAGGGAATGAACACTGTCACTTACGGTAAGGTAGAAAGGTATATAACTTATCTTACACTGCCTGCTTTCAGTTTATAGACCAAGCTGTGTCATGCCAAAATGCAATCTTAATTCTTCAGCATAGAAATCACTTTAAAAGGCCTGTTGTTTCCAGCACCCTAAAATAATACCAAGAATCCCTAGAACCATCTGAAATAAAGTTCCATTTATCAATTTAAAAAATATGCTAATTTATATTTTAATTTAACTCTGGATTTTCTAGTCATTAAATTGATCTGTTCTACTATTTCTATGCCATGCCATCATGTGGTTATCCCCATAGATTTACTCTATGATTCAGTCCTGAGAAAAGCAAATTTTCTTGTTGTGCTTTTCTTCCTCAAAATGTTCCAGTAAATGTACATACATTAAAGCCTCATTAGAGCAAATATAAATACACACACACACACACACACACACATCTCCATCAGTAATTCAACAATATGTAAAAGTAACAGCAAGAAAGAATTCCAAAGGGTTGACGAAGTTTCAGGAAGAAGAATTTGGTCCTATGAAGAAAGATATTAAAAAAAAAAAAAACAATAAAATACATTGGGTAGCATATTTATGGCTTCACATTAAACTTCATACAATAACATTTAAATAGAAGGTTTTCATACACTGGATGGAACTGGAAATCACTATCCTAGAGAAATAAGCCAGTCACACAAAACCAAATCTCACATGTTTTATATATGGAAGCTATAGAAAGTACAAAAGTGCATGGATACCGTATTATTTGGTCTATAATCATATTGTCTTTAATGGATTTCATCAATACATCCTTCTTTCCTCACTGTTAGCATTGTGATGAATCCCACATTTTTCTTACATTAATATTACTGTTTTTGAGAAAAATGTATATAAGTGCACATATATAATATATCAAATGTTAAAAAATGTTCAATTTTAAAATTTACAAAAGAAATTTTGATCCACTTACCACATTTGTTATCTTCATGGACTCCATGAACACGAGTTATTCTGTCGTTATTGGGTTGCTCTTCTGGTGCACTGTGAATGATGGCAGTTGTATGTCCTGGAATTATTAAGTCTTTCTATAGGAAAAAAAAACACAACCTCAGCAAGCATGTTCACTCAGTTGTCCCACCACCCATTCACTCACTAAGACATTTATTCTGTAAATCAAAGCATAGGCACTGTCCTAGGAAAAGAAGAATATGTCCACGGAAGGCACTTACTGCAGTACGTTAAAGTGGGAGTAGACATAGAGTCAACAAAAACTCGGAGCAAGAAAATTAATTCCATAATAGAGCATTTTACCTTGGCAAATGAATTGAGGCCTTTCTCATATGATATAAGCAGTTCATGATTAACATCAGGTATTTCCAAAAGCCTTGTGCACAAAATATATAAGAAAAATAGTTAAATATTTTCTATAAAAAATCAGGGGAAACATCAACTAAACTTCTGCTAAATGGTATTTTTTGGTACAATGAAAATTTGACTCTTGTTTTAGAAAAACTTTTCATCATCTATTTCTGCCTACACTACTCTCACCCCACTGAAATATTTGGTGAAGATAATACATCCCATAAAAAATCTGTGAACATCAATATACTAGCAGAAACTTTACAACTTGTTCACCCTGAAGATGCTTATGCAAATTTCATCCGTGGCTGCCATACATTTCATTACCTCAAGGCAATGAACACTGTCACCTATGGTAAGCGAGAAAGGTATATAACTTATCTTACACTGCCTGCTTTCAGTTTATAGACCAGGCTGTGTCATGCCAAAATGCAATCTTAATTCTTCAGCACAGAAATCACTTTAAAAGGCCTGTTGTTTCCAGCACCTTAAAATAATACCAAGAATCCCTAGAACCATCTGAAATATTTGAAAGCTAAAGATATATACATCACAGAACAAATGTGTAGGTTGTTGTTGGAAATGCCCTTCTCAGAAATATTAAGATGTTCAGTGATTTTCCCAAATAAGTGTTGCTGTTTCCTCATTCAGGTAAACGTAAACCAGTAAGACTATAGGTGCTTATGTACTTAGAAGGGAGATGCTGCTGAGAAGAGTCATGGTACCTGTACTTTTGTTTCTGTTAATGGTATCTAAATATCTTGCCTCCTATGAGATCCTAACCCCAAATAACTCTTCTGGTGTCAAGCACAGTGATGTGGTTTGGATAAGAGTTCAGATATCAACAAAAGGCCCATGTATTTGTGGCTAGATTGCAAAGTCTTATTTAATGGATAAATGGTAATGGTCAATGGATTAAAAGTAGAAACAATGCAACTATGATGTCTAGGTGTTGGGCCTAAAGGAGGTCTTTAGGTCACCGGGGGCTTGTATTGTGAATGAAGTTCTCATGAGAGCAGTGAACTATACAACTGTTCTCTCTGCTGCTGGGTGCACCGTGTTATTCTCCCTTTGTATTCATTCCACCAACCAACATCCTCATCATGCTGCCACCTGTTCTTGGACTGTGAATCTCAAAACTTTATGCCAAAATAAATCCTATTCCTCTGTATGTTAGCCAACAGATATTTTTTCTGTAAGTAACAAAAAGCTTACAAACACATACAACTTCAAACATTAACGTATTAAACCTACAAAGCACAGAACCCTGAGAAAAGAGTGGACTCAAACATACAACTGTATTTTTTTATTTTCTTTTATTATTTTTTTTATTTTTTGACAGGCAGAGTGGACAGTGAGAGAGAGAGACAGAGAGAAAGGTCTTCCTTTGCCATTGGTTCACCCTCCAATGGCCGCCGCGGCCGGCACGCTGCGGCCGGCGCACCGCGCTGATCCGATGGCAGGAGCCAGGTGCTTCTCCTGGTCTCCCATGGGGTGCAGGGCCCAAGCACTTGGGCCATCCTCCACTGCACTCCCTGGCCACAGCAGAGAGCTGGCCTGGAAGAGGGGCAACCGGGACAGAATCCGGCACCCCAACCGGGACTAGAACCCGGGGTGCCAGCGCCGCAAGGCGGAGGATTAGCCTAGTGAGCCGCAGCACCGGCCCAAACATACAATTGTAGGCACTACTTCCCTCTTCTAAAAAACAAGCTACATTGAGGCTCAGTCATCTTGCCACAGCAAGACACACGTAGCTCTGTAGGGTTTATCAGCTAATCCTATCCCCCTCTTACCAAATACATACCAGGGAGAGACATCAGAAAATGGAAAGAAGAGGTGGGCATGAGAGGACATCTGCCCTGGACCAAGTTCTTTGCAGATCATCCACCTCCAGTCCCCTAGTGCTCAAGGGAGACTAGATTACCTACCCCTCTGAGTGTGGGGGACCATGAAGTAGATGATATAGCATTACAGTCTTATCTGATATGGACTCTTCCCAGTGACTCTAAAAATCCACCTGTGGTGCAAGCATCCCGTTGGGCACTGGCTCATGTTGCAGCTACTCTTTCCAACTGTCTGCTTATGGCCTGGGAAAGCAACGGAAAATAGCCCAAGTCCTTGGGTCCCTGCACTCATGTGAGAGCCAGGAAGAAGCTCCTCATTCCTGGCTTTGGATTAGCTCAGCTCCAGCCATTGCAGCTATTTGGGGATGAACCATGGATGGAAGATATATATATATTCATATACATATATATACACACACACACATATATATATATGGCAGGATTTCTTTATTGATTCATCAGTTGATGAGCATCTAGTTTGATTCCATATATTAGCCATTGTAAATTCAGAATTTATCTGAATTGGACCTGTATCTTGATGCCACTATTGTATAAGTCTGTATCCATCCATGCTAAAGGGTAAGAGAATCCATTTGGGAGTAAGGACAGGCTGATATGGGTCAGTTAATTATTTTACTACAGGTTCATAGGCCAATCAATCAACCCCTCAGCACTATAGTTGCCTAAATAGTAGGAAATAAACTACATTAACACATACATTGAAAACTGGTTGGACAATTATGACAAGCAACAAATGTTAAGTACACAATATCCATCCAGCCCAGAGGAGAATACATAATGCATTTCTTTGCTTTCCATTAGTTAACAAATGGTTTTAAAAATCATTAAACCCTACCTTTTTCTATATTCTTTAGAATGCTCATCATCTATTAAAGAAAAGTAAATACATTTTAAATTAAATCAATGATAGAATAATATAGAATGTTATAATATATAGTACATTGTTAAAAATTACAGCTTTGGAGCCAGGTGTTTGACACAGAAGTTATGATGCTTCTTAGATGCTCACATCATACTGGAGTGCCTGGGTTTGGGTCTCAGCTTTGCTTTCAAACTGAGCTCTCAGCGTACCCTGAGAGGCAGGAGGTTATGGCTTAAGCAATTGGGTCTTTGTGACCCATCTGAGTCCTGCTTTTGTCTGGCCCAGCCCCAGATATTGCCGGAATTTAGGGAGAAATTATCAGAGAAGGAAATAACACTCTCTACTGGCTATCTATAGCTCTGCATCTCTACATTTCACATAAACTGAAAATAAAAATTAAAAGAAAAGATGCTTTTGATCATACTTACAAGTTATAGCAGAGTGATTATTAACTACATCATTGATAGCCATTATGGAACCTTACTTCTGCTACTTTGAATTTATCAATGTAAAGTGAATAATACAATTAATTAAGATGATATGGAAAACATATGCTCTATACAAAGACTGTAATCCAACTGAGAGACAATTGTATCACTAATAGAATAAGTATAAAAGATTGTAGGGTCCCAGTGCTATGTCACAGCAGATAAAGTCACGGCCTACAGTGCTGGCCTCCCTCATGGTTTCCAGTCCAAGTCTTGGCTGCTCCACTTCCAATCCAGCTTCCTGTTAACGGGTCTAGGAAATCAGCAATAGATGTCCCAAGTTCTTGGCCATGTAACCATGTGTGAGTAGCTGAGTTTGATTACCAACTCCATGTTCTGACTTCAGTTTGCTGCCTGTGCAAACTCACAGAGGCAGTGAGGCTCAAGTAATCAAGCTCCTCCTAAGCACGTGGAAGACCTAGATGGAGTTCCTGACTCCTGTCTATGGCTTCCATCCAAACGAGGCCATTGTGAGCATTTGGAGGACAAATTGGTAGATGGCAGCTTTGTTCTGTAAGTCTCCATGCCTCTCAGACACAGACATACACACACACACACACACCTATACAGATATGTATCTTTTTCTAAATTACACAAATGCCACAAAGAGATAAAGGGCCACAATTAGTGATTTTCTTCAAATAATAGTGCTTCAGATTATAAATATCCTACAATAAACCTCTAAAATTTCTAAATACTTGATTCCTAAGAAAGATTAAGAAAAACAGACATATAATTAATCATTGACTTATCTGTAACTGCTCTTCTGTGATCAACTACTTCTTATGTTTATATTTTTTTTCCTATGTTGGGACTAGCTGGAGAAGTTTTACCTGGATTTCTATTTACAATCTTCTCAAGTGCAGCATTTTCTCGAAACAACGAAATGAGTTGGTAATTTTGCCTATGTATAAGAATGAATAAAATTGTTTCAGTATTGATAAGGACAACTATCAAATGTATCAAATCCTTAGAATATTTCTGATAGTTCAAAGTTAGTACCAGAACTTACATTATGCCAACGCACTTCATAATTATATGTTCTACAATATAATTTTCTTAAACTTATTGTTAAGATGAAAAACAGTAAGGTGAAGAAGTCCTGAATTAAAGGTGGTATAACTCAATAAATTAACTAAAATTAGCAGGACATAATAAGGTATCATAAACTCAGAAGACTCAGCTCTGTAGCCAACAGGTATGGGCAAGTCACTTGTTTTAACCTCAAACTCTTCTAAAGAGTAAGGATTTTCCTATGTCTTCACTAGTAGTTATAGAGATTTAATGATTTAATGCGTTAATATATAAAATATATAAATGCTCAATGAAATCAAGCAATGGAATACTTTGTTCTTGAAATTTACTACTGAAACTATTTTGGAATCCCAAAGAAAACCTGTAGTGTGTTTTTTCACTGTTCAGGCTACAGGAAATGTCATTAGTTTCTCATTCTGGCTATTAGTTACTCCATACAGCTGTAACCATAGATACCTCATCTACTTAACATATTGCAGCTACATGCATTTGTAAATATATCACTTCACTAAGTTAGGTAACATAATTGATGTGATCATTCACACTAAGGGTACAAAACTAAGAGCTGTCAAGTACTGGGGCAGACTATTACTATTCCTTTCAAGGATTCAAACTCTGCACCAGTTGATATTTGCTAGTATGATGCTTAACGTCCCTGTTCAACTCCACCTAACTTGGAAGATCAAACTGCACTTTATTACATGGTTTCTGAGAAGTTATGCATGGGGCTTAGCTCACTTAAATCCATATAACATACTTTAGATTCAGAGAATTCTCAAGAATGGCTTGTTGTGAGGCAGAATTTAAAACTACTTTGAAAATCTGATATAAAATGCACATAATTTAGATTTCCATCTTCACTATTACAGCAAACAAATCACCTTAGGTCCAACACATACTCTGGAGCACAGAAACATACGGGACATTCCACAAACCAAGAACATATGTGCCCAGACTATAAAGAAGCCTTAGGGTACATATCTGGTGCAAAACATTAAATAAACTCTCATCTTTTCCTACATTATCTGAATTTGTCTGACAACAGAATGGTACCAAGTAGAAACTACTAGCAAAGTCAAGAACCTTATAAAGAACACATCATGAAGGTTTAAGGCTAAGAAGTAGATGCCACCTGAGGTTCTCATAAATAGCCTATTTTTGGCTACATACATGCCAAAACCTAGGAAGCCAGAGTGGGGTGTTAATACTTTGTGGACAGTGACTGAGTATATAGGCATATGTCAGTCAACAAATAGACATTTTAATCTCAGGATATAAGTGCACATCACCACGAAGACTGGGGATCTGGATCAGTAAAAGAATCCTGGTAACAAAGGAAGCAATAAAAAATAAGAATTATTAGAACCCCATCTCTCTGATGAAGGAAGATTGCCTTGAGAACCTTATTTCTCTGATGAAGGAAGATTGCCTTGTCAGGCTTATGGAACTTCCTGGCTTTTTGTAAAACTCAAGAAAAAGAATTTAAGAGGCAGCTCCCAGGACAAAATATGAAATTTCCTGCTAATCTGGACACTGAAGGCCTAACCAACTAAGTAGAACTAGGAAGGTGTGACACTGTTTGGAGGGTCATGGCAGGGGTTGTATTATGAAATGATATGGATAATGTGGGCAGTTGCAGGGATAAAGACCTTCAAATCTCTGAGATAAAGAATTTGTACCCATCTGTATTTCTAACTAGCCAACCTTTCTCTTTGGTTTGTTTTTGTTTTAAAGATTTATTTTACTTGAAAGTCAGAGTTACACAGAGACAGGAGAAGCACTAGGAGGAGGAGGTGGGAGGGGGAGAGGGAGGAGGAGGAAGAGGGGGAGGGGGAGGGGGAGAGGGAGGAGGAGGAAGAGAGGGCTTCATCTGATAGTTCACTCCCCAGTTGGCTGCAATGGCCAGAGCTGCACCGATTTGAAGCCAGGATCCAGGAGCTTCTTCTGGGATTCTCACGCGGGTGCAGGGGCCCAAGGACTTGGGCCATCTTCTACTGCTTTCCCAGGCCATAGCAGAGAACTGGATCGGAAGTGGAGCAGCCAGGAATCAAACTGGCGCCCATATGGGATGCCAACACTTCAGGTGGCAGCTTTACCCTCTACATCACAGCACCTGCCCCTCTGTTTAGTTTCTGACTGTTGAAGTAAAGGGACTCACTGCCATTCCAAAAACTGTGAGAGCTAAGTCATCTGAAAACATGAAGTACTTACACCTCAACTTCATGTTGATTACAATGTTAGTGTAAACACTTACATATTACGTTTTTGAAGAGCATAATCCCTAGCAGAATGTCCAGCAATGTCTTCAGAAAGCACATCAACCCCTAGTTCAAGAAGCATGTGTACTACGTTTTCCGTACTATACCGTCCCGCAAACATGAGGGATGTTCTAAAATAACAGAGAGAGAACTTCATTAAAAACTTCAATGAGGCTACTCAAACAGCTGAGTGGCTCTATTTTACCAAGTTAATATCTTGCCTATGTATATGTGATCATTTACTTGTATGAATGGACATAAGCATCTTGGAATATCAAATGCTCATCTCCAGAAATTATCTCCAGGGTTAAAGAGAAAAAAAAACAAAATAAAGCCTCTTGTCTAACTGGGGTATTCCATAGAAGTTACTAATTTGAAGTCTTTAAGGGATAGTAACACCATTGAGATCACTTGTTTAAATCAGGCAGTTTTAAGTGAAGAATTCACTCTTACTTCCCCAGTTTTAAATATTAAATATATCCCAGTCAGGTAAGTAAAAGCTATCTGAAAGCATAAAGCTCTTATATTATATGGCAATAATAGTCACAGCAGTTTCAGTTAGCAATGGTGACAACCACGTGTCAGCTACTGAATTACATTTTATATATGACATTATATACAACTACATCTGAAAGACAGGATACATTACTATCCCACTTTCACTTCAGGTTCGATTTAATAGTTAATGTTCCCAAGGTTGCACACCCAACAGGTTGGACATCTGAGAATTAAGCCTTGTGTTATATGTCTTTTCTCTTTCTCATTTATTATTTGTCGTCATCAAAGGAAAAGCTTATCTAAGTAAATACATTTCTTCCCTCTTCCCATACTAATTACAAATAAAATTATAAGGATCAGGCATTTAATCTTGGTATTATGACACCAATTAAGAAGTCCCCTTCCCGTATCAGACTACCTGGTTTGACTCCCAGATTCAGCTTCTATGTGTAGTCTCCTACTCATACAGACCCCGGAAGACATTAGTTATATTCAGCTTAGATAATTAGATTCCTGCAACTACATGGAAGTCTTTATTGCATTCTTAGCTCCAAGCTTCAATCTGGCCCAGCCTGAACTGTTGCAGGCATTTGAGCAGTGAAACTGAAGTGAGAGAGTTCTAATTCTCTCTCTCTGTGTTTCTCTAATCTCTCTCTCATAGAATTTTTTAAAAACCATGCTTTTAAAAATATCAAATATCAAAATAAAGCAGAATGAAAAAAACGATAAAATCATACTATCTGCTAATAACCACCTACAGTCGCTTAGGTATAACTTAACATCAATATACTTTGAAGAAAGAAATTAACAAAAAAAAAGTCAGCAAAAAGACAAAATGATTTTCAATTCCTATTTATGTATACTACAGCATTTTTAAAAGTAGAGTATGTGGGCACTAGATTCTGTCCCGGTTGCCCCTATTCCAGGCCAGCTCTCTGCTGTGGCCCAGGAGTGCAGTGGAGGATGGCCCAAGTGCTTGGGCCCTGCACCCCATGGGAGACCAGGAGAAGCACCTGGCTCCTGGCTTTGGATCAGCGCCGTGCGCCTGTGGCCATTAGAGGGTGAACCAACGGCAAAGGAAGACCTTTCTCTCTGTCTCTCTCACTGTCCACTCTGCCTGTCAAAAAAAAAAAAAAAAAGTAGAGTACGTAGGAAAAAAAGATTTCTTTAAGATTATTTATTTATTTGACAGAGTTGGACAGTGAGAAAGAGACAGAGAGAAAGGTCTTCCCTCCGTCGGTGGAAAAATTTTAAAAATATTACAGAATGTTTAAGAAGCTCAATAGTGACTCATATTTATTAAAACAGTAAAACTAAAATGAATAACCTTTCATTAATATCAGACTATACAACCAAAAATCAGATTACTGTTAAAATATATCAGTCACTATCGTAAGAGAATATGACCATTCCTATGTAGCTCCTTGTGTTGGCCAGTATGCATAATTGCTTTCCTACCAGATAGATTTTTATTGTTACTTTTCATTGTATCTCAATAATATACTAACATTTTATTTCATATTTCTGACTTGAATCACTTTATAACTGATAAACATCACTGAGTTTAAAATATAGAATGAAATAATTTACCTGTTTAGATTATCAATTGCGAAAACATCTGCATTCTGTAATATTAAAAATTTAACCATAGTTTCTTGGTTTTGTTGAATAGCCACTAAAAGTGGTGTGAGGCCAGTCTGTAAAAAAATGATTCACAATTCACATTATTACATATTTCTCAACAGAACTGAACATATTTCAGATGACAATGCAAACTCGGACATCAAATGTAGAAGGTAAATTAAAGGAGGCTCTTTCTTCCCACCCTGTGCTTCCACATGTACTGCACATTCCTCTTAAAACTCTCCTCTCCATTGCCTCATTGCATGGAACCTACTCATCACCAAGACTCACTCCAAACAATTGCATTCCAGGGTTCATTGCTTCCATCAAAACACTCACCACGGAATATTACAATTATTTGATTGCACACAATAAAAACACAAGGTCCTCTGGAAGGCAAGGGCTACATGTTTTACCTCTGTAGCCCTAAACCCTAAGACATAGTAGTTAATATTTCAAGCATTCTTATTCAACTCATGACCTAAATTATTGTCTCAAGAACAGTGTTTCTCAATACATATTTCCAAGAACATTTACTTTTGCACAAATTATATACTGTCCACCAACAGAAAAATGTCATGATCATCTGTTTGAGAAATATAACAAAGCCATGCATCCTGTGCTCCCCTAGGTGGGGAGAGAAGCAAACTGGAGGGTATCTGCCTTTTAAAAATAGGAAACCTTCTGAACAGCATACAACTCAGTAATCTGAGCTCAAGGATCCCTGATTGGAATCCTTCAGATAATCCTGACAGTCAGAGGTGTGCATCAGTCTCCCAAATTTTGTATTTTGAAACAATTTACAGAGGCAAACTACACACATCTCTGCACCATGTTCAGTCGATTCCTTTGAGTCTTTGTATCAGCTGGCAATGCATTTCCAAATGATTTTGTATAAAGCAGGTATTAACATGTAATATCTTCACTTTTCTTAGCATCACCTAATTCACAAAAAGATCAGGCCCACTATGTAGTCAACAGGGCACACCCAATATACTATTTTCCAACAGTTAAATAACCATCCATTTGTATTTAAATCTGACAGGTTTTAGTCAAATGGATATTTGAGATACAGGAATGTTGAAACTGAACTATTAAAAGAATGTCCATCCATATTCTTAACACTACCATGGCTTTCAATTTTAAGTCTGCCATAGTGATTATGTGTCAGCGCTCCATGAATTCAACACAACAAGATTTGATTGTGTATCATAAAGCTTCAATGAGGAAAAAGGTTCATAATTTGCTCTAATTCTAACCATAAAGCCCTGCTTGCAATATACATTTCTTTGTAAAACTATCCGTAAGTGTTATTCTGTAGGCTGAGAATTATTAGTATTATCTCTTTGAATTTATAACTACAAAGGAAAAGAAAGACAGATAAAATCAGAGGTTAGTATTGTTCGAATGTAGCATCCATCAAACTCTAACTCTTCTCAAGATTCTTAATAGTTTTTGAGACCTAAGAACTTACACATTACAATTAACAGTTTGGTGGTTCTTAACAAGGGTTTTGTCAGACTCTCAGAGATAGGTTTTTAAGTATACATGTAAAGACGTAGTAAGATTTACTGAAATAAAATACTCTTGGAGAGACTAACTAGACTTCTAAGTTTTTCCAGGTCATTCTGATATACAACTCCAGCCGAGAACTGGTGCAGCAGACAATCACCACTTCCATCTCTCCTCTCACACACATCATTTGGAGACTTGACCAAAAAGGAGTAATGAGTAAGAGACACACACACTGAACATCCCATTTCATTTTTCTTGAGTAGGAATAAATCAACTAACAGTAAACTCAAAGTCCAACTTAGATTTATTTGTAGGATCCTTTTCTTCTACTTTCCCACAAAGACATTCTCTATTTGAGAGCTGAGTTTAGACACTTTTCCTCAGCAGCTCTTCCTACCATAATAAAATGTCAATCATTTGTTCTTCCCTCTTGTTTTCTACATTCATCACCACCTAGTCACTCCAAATATGGTTCCCCTAAGCAAACTTACAACTTATTAATGATATTAATGAAAGTACAAGTTACTATACTTTCAATCAAAGAATACTTGGTCTACACAAAACTCAACAAAAACAAATCAAAAATCCCATCTCCGTATTTTCCCTCAATTACCTAATTTACAAATGTTTCATTCTTCTATCCTTTTCTCTTGCAAAGTTTCCCAGTTAACCCTTGACACTCTAAGGTAACTTTTATATAAATAAACTTATTTAGGAAATGGACAGCAACAGCCATATTTCTGTTTACTACAACATGCTTTCTTCTTGAGTTTTAAGCAAAAGCCTTTGTCAAGACAAAATTGGACTGCTCCTGTTTTTGCACCACTTAGAAAAAAGTAACTGGGAAAATATCCTTGAAAATATGTCTGACCTTTAACAAATTCAGTGCTTTCATAAATACTGGCCATAAATGCCTCTCAGTCTGTCCTTTCCAGTATTTCTGCAATGGTATCAATATTTAAACTTAAATATGGGACAGTTTTCATAAAATATCTTCATTCAATGCAGCTGGTACTCCCAAATATGAGAAACTGCTTCTATACATGTCAATCTTTTAAAAATGTATTTCCAATAGTCTAAACATTAAGTTAGATGATCCATACCTTATTTTTCTTTTCAATATCTGCATTGCTGGAAAGCAGCTTTTCGGCCATTCTTATATTTTCTCCGTAGGCCACATAGTGGAGAGCAGTGTTGCCAATTTCATCCTCAATATTTGGATCAGCCCCATGATCCAGTAAGAGTGTAGCACAGTTCTCAGCGGGACACTGTACAGCCTGCCAGTAATACACCAATCATAAATTGTAACTTCTAGAAATTCAAAGAAAAACTCCCCATCCCAATGGTTTCACCAGTTAGTCATATATAAATAAGATAAATTCATTTTTATTCTAAGTATGTAAACCAAGCCCTTCCTATACTGGGATGGTTGGGCACTAAATACCTTTATCAGCGGTGTTGCAGCCCTTTTATCTTGCGGATCAAGTAGACATCTTTGGCTTATGAGGAAAGCTACCACGTCTTGGTGGCCTTTTGCACAGGCCCAGTGCAGAGCGGTCCTATAGGAAATTAGATTGCACAATCACAAAACAGGCCATTTCTCATGTAATCGTAAGAATAAAATAGCATATTCCCCTGCCCTCAAAACAAATACTTTTCTGATGAACAAAGAACTTTATCATCTCTTCTTGTCACTAAACTAATGAAAGAGAAGCCTATTAAAGAAAAATAATATGATCATTACATTAACCACAGCTTGGTTAAATCCTATTTTAAGTTATGACTAGGACTTTGAGTATCTCAATTTCCTGATTAAAAGAATGGGGAGAAAAAGAGTAGTTGTCTCAGTTTACCATTGTGATGCTTCAATGAAAATCTATGTAAAATATTTAGAATGGTTGCTGACACAACTAACAGCTCAGTAATTGTCAGACGTAGTCATTACTAATACCACGATTTAAAAACAGCATTTTAATTGAGTAAGATAATATAATTATCCTGACTTTCCATATATCCTTGAAGCATTAGAGAAAATATTATAATTCACTGACTCTGAATATGCTCAATGCCTCTCACTTTATCATTTCTCACATTGAAGTGCTGCTTATCATAATTCATTACTTTTCCCACTGTAATTGGCAGCATTTAAAAATTCAGCATCTATTGAGATAATTCAATGGTTCTATGGTTTTGTTCTTTGATTTCTTAAGGTGATGTAGCAGATTTATTAATCTGTATATGTCAAAATGTCTGTGTACATCAGGGATAAATCCCATTTCATCTGGGTGAAGGATTTTATTAGATGTGTTGTTGGATTCCATTAGCTAGAATTTGTTAAGGATTTTTATCTGTGTTAATCAGTGACACTGGTCTATAGTTGTCTTTCTTGGTTGTTAACTTTTTATCCTGGTTTTGGAATAAAGTGATATAGACATTTGGACCAATGGAAGAGATTAGAGAGCTTAGAAATTCATCTATGCATCTACCATCAACTGATCTTTGACAAATGTGCTACAATCACTCCCTGGGGAAAGGACAGTCTCTTCATCAACTGGTGCTGCGGAAATTCGATCTCTGCATGCGGAAGTAGGAAACAAGATCCATACTTTTTAGCTTTCACAAAAAACAACTCAATGGTTCAGGGATCTAAACCTAGGACTCAGAACCATACAATGACTAGAAAAAAGCATAGGGGAGACACCATAATTCATTGGCATAGTCAGGGACTTCTTGGATTAGACATCAGAAGCACAGGGAATAAAGGCAAAAAAAGACAAATGGAGTTAAATCAAGATAAGAAGCTTCTCCACAGTGAAGAAAACACTCAACAAAGTAAAGAGGCAATCAACAGAGTGGGAGAAAACACTGCAAGCTATACATTGGATAAAGGATTAACATCCAAAATATATACGAAGTTCAAGAAACTCAACAACAACAAAACAGAAAATACAGTTAAGAAGTGGGCAAAAGATTTAACAGACATTTTTCAAAGCATGAAATACAAATGGACAGCAAACACATGAAAAAATGCTCAGGATTGCTAGGCATCAGGGAAATGCCAATGAATTCCACACTCACCCTAGTTAGAATTGTGTTCATCCAAAAATCAAAAAACATAAAGAATGCTCGTGAGAGTGTGGGGAAAAGGTACCCGAATACACTGTTGATGGAAACGTATATTAGCATAACTATTATGGAAGAGAGTAGGAAAAAAATTAAAAATAGATCTGTGATATGACCCAGCTATTCCACTCCGGAGAATTTACCCAAAGGAAGTAAAGTAAGCATATGAAAGAGTTATCTGTAACCCAATGTTTATAGTAGCTCAACTCACAATAGCTAAGATATGGAATCAACCCAGATGTACATAAACTGATGACTGCATAATGTGTGCTATGTAACCATGATGGAATACTATTTAACCATAAAAAATGAAACCCTGTCTTTCACAACAATTTGCAATTGGAGATCATTAAACTTAGGGAAATACACCAGTCCCAACAAGCAACTAAAACATTTTCCTGGATTTGTGGTAACTAACATACAGAGTACAAAATACGCAGATGAGTGAAATCGACATTTTCAGATTTGATTGCATATAGCCCTTATCTATACTCCTGAGAAAACATTGTTTTTCCACTTACTACTTATTGAATTCTTTATTTAGTGGAAGGTTAAGCTTGTGATTACAAAGTAAAGTGAAACTTGGTCATTGTAAAAATTAAAAGAAAAATAAGAAAGTAGGAGAGAGGGTGGGAGTCAGGCAAGGAGGGAGGATAGGGTGGGAAGTACCATTATGTTCTTCACATTGTATATATGAAATACATGAAGTGTGTTATCTTTATATAAAGCGTTTTTATAAAACAGAAAAAATGGCTCATTGATACCTATTGATCACACAATCCATGGTGCCTAACAATAAGTGCAAAATAGCTTATAAAAACACATTTATGGCAACTCCAGCCATATGATTGGCATTAAATATTAGTTTCTGAAAGTTCTATAGTTTGGAAGAGACAGCTAACATTACAAACATGTTTAAAAACAAAGTAATTCTTTAATCTCAATAATATTAAAAATTTAACTAGAGTGTCTACATCCGATCATTCTGGAAATGACAAGATAAAGAAAATTTCACAAGAATTCAAATACCTATAAGTAACAATTTTAATCACATTTTGTTGGCTAACACAGTCCACAATTTGTGTGTATGTATAAACAAACACTTTTCTCACTTGTTATACAGATTGCCTACATATTTGTATTTCCACATGCATCTGTGGGACACTCCACCTTTAATGGTCACCTATCAATGCAATCTATCAATGCGCCATAATGTATAGGTCCATTATGTAGGTTCTTCTTAACATATGCCCATTTTAAGCACTAATAAGAGAAACAAATGGCATGCCTACCTCTAAAAGTTATTTTAAAAGAATGAAATTGAAGAGTGGAGGGCATATGCATTTTTCAAATATGACACGGGGGCTGGCACTGTGGTGTAGCAGGTAAAACCACCATCTGCAGTTCCAGCATCCCATATGGGTGCCAGTTCGAGTCCCAGCTGTTCCACTTCTGATCCAGCTCTCTGCTATGGCCTGAGAAAGCTGCAGAAGATGGTTTGGGTCCTTGGGTCCCTGCTTCCACGTGGGAGACCCAGAGGAAGCTCCTGGCTCCTGCCTTAGGACTGGCACAGCTCTAGCCATTGTGGCCAACTGGGAAGTGAACCAGCAGATGGAAGACCCCCCCCACCTCTCTCTCTCTCTCCCCCACCATAACTCTTTCAAGTAAATAAATAAATCTTTAAAAAAAGTGACACAGTACTTAGAACCAAATTCTCAATATAAAAATCACAAGCAATTTGACCTTTGCCCCTAATATTGCTATTCATTATCATAAACTATGTGGATGGAAAGTAGCATTTCATTCATCTTTCAAATTAAATTCTTTTTCTCACCAGAGACACTAAATACTGTTTTCTATGTCCATGGATCACTTGTATACCTACAACACATACATATCCCAATTTAAAATTAAGTTCAGTGTTGTTTTCCTGCTTTGCACAGATTTCTGTAAAATGAAGATCCATTTTTTTCACCTGAAATATACTTGTTGTAAAAATGTTTTGAAGATATATTGTTTTGTTATTTTCATCCAGATACACAGGAAGTTTTATTTTTATTTCCTAAGCAAATATTCAGAGTAATTCCTTAAAAACTGCTTATTTAAAAGGCAGAGTGAAAGGGAGAGGAGGAAAGGTACAAAGAGCTGCCGTTAACTGATTCACTCCCCAAATGCCCGCAACAGCCAAGGACAGGCCTGGCAAAAGCTAGGGGGTCAGATCAGGAGCAAAGTGGGCAGGACTCCAACCTGTACTCAGCTATGAGACACCAGCATCCAAAAGCAGTGACTTCACCCACTGTGCTGAACTGTTCACCCCAGGATGTTTGCTTTCGACTTCAGTCTTCATCAAGTCTTTGGCCACGAAAAAATTTATTGCTTCGCATTTTTTGTTTTCTCCTGAAATTTTTCTCACATTGTTTATTTACAACTTTTAACTCTACCAGAAATGTAGCTTTGTGTTATAAAAATCTAGTTTTCCTCCGTTAAGAAGTATTTCATGCATAAGCAAACCGTGTTTTCTTATGAATATTAAATGTTACCAGTATCAAGTTCTAAATCTTTGTTTCATATTAAGTTTTTGGATTTCCAATGCATTTGCCCTTTCAACTGTCAGAAACCTGATTAATTTCTAAAAACAGCACGTTTACATCAAAAACAGCACCTCATTATTTGCTACATTACAAATGAGTGTTAGCAGAGCAGTAAATGACAAGTAGAACGTGTAACTCGAAATTTTTAAACTTTGATATTTTTGTTTGGCGCATGTAAGACTGATAAAATTAAAGCTCACTTTTTGGTAAAAATGAGTTCTCTCACGCCAAGGTTTCCTTCTACAATCCCACGTACACGCAGGTGTGAACTGACATCAAACGGGTATTGGGTTTACTCAGACTTTAACCCAGGGGTTAAGAGATTATGGAAATTTTCTTGTTATCTTTTTGATCATGTGTATCACAACGTGGATCTGGACTTGTGTACATAAACATGGACTGGTGTCCAGGGAAGCAAGCAGGGGAGCCTGGGGCGAGGGCTTCCCGCACTGGGCCCCACTGCCCACCCTCCAGTACCTGCTCTTGTGGTCCACATCATCCACACTGCTTCTTCTGCAAATCAGCATTTTCTCCACTGCGGCCACATTGCCCGCGCTGGCAGCTCTGTGAATGGCACCAAGCTCCCAGTAGAGCAGGCGGTATCCAAAATGCGGCCGCATCTTCAAGCGCTTTTTCTCGAACTCCGTAACCGTCCGAGCGCGCTTTCTCGCAAGCTTGCTAACAGACCAGGAGAAAAATTTCTCCATAAGCAAGGCTGTCAGGGGCTTTCAGCCACCTCTGCAACAAAATAGGAAGAAATGTGGCAGTCTAGCCACCATGCAACGGAGGAGCTTCGCGGTTTTCAACCTCTCGGCTCACAGTAACTGTCGCCCAACAACTGCCGC